CCCACATGCAAATAACAAAAGGCGCATTCGTAATATAAAGTTCTTGTAAAGTGAAGCCACATTTAATCATACTGCCCTATTATAGTTGCCAACAATGGGAATAAAACATCCGTCAGATTTTTCTTTGGGGGGCCAGCATAGTTGGCGCCCAGCGGAAGATGTTTAAAATATGGAGTCTCTAGATCGTTGGAAATGGCATTTTCAGAGTCTTCTAAACTTTATACACACAAGTTTTGGTAGCTTTTCTTTAGATATACAAAACCATATTGTTGAATACCCATGCCGGTACGAAGTTGCATGAAGTGATGTTTTCATTATCTATTTTTGGCTTAATGGCGTGAATTTTTTCAGAAGAAAAAAGTTTTATGTAATTTGACGCAAATGAAGCCACTCTTAATAGTTAAAATGTGCCACAAAGCCAACATATTTAACTGAAACACAGTTGGGTTATTTTCGGAAGCTGTGAGCTCACTGTGAGGTTTTAGTAAAATATGTGATGCTAATGGTGGATCTGTGAGAGATGGCAACTATGCCCTATATAAATGTATCGTAATTTATATATTCTTTACCATTTATTGAGTCAATGCCTGTTCCAATGTACATGTTTATGTTGAAATCGGTTTAATAAATGGTGTTGTGTTGGAGTTTAGTACAGTTCTACTGCCGTCTCTATTTTTATCTGTAGGTTTTATGTTACAACAGGGTCATGCGGGGCACGTATTTATATTGCACAAAATTTTTTGGCCTCCCCTTTTTTCATGCACGAAAATACTTGACCCCCCTCGTTTTCCACCAGCCCCCCCCCCTCCCCTGTAATTAATGACCGGTCCCTTACAGTTGGAATAAAGCTAAAAGATTTTTAACTACAGTATAAATTTCTCTATGGAATTATTTTATTTGATTAAACGTTGTTAAATTGGCTGTAGTTTAATTTTGATCTCACTGTAATTTGGCCCACACACGAAACCGATAATTATATTCAAGCAAATACAAACACATGTACTATATTAATTTGATTTTCATTTAAAAACATGATGCTATGTTTAATTAGCATTATACCTGGTATATTCAACACTGCTGAAATTCGACGCCATGCATGCCTCTTGTTTCTTTGGTTTATCTTTGCTGGAGGCTAGTGAAATGTTCCATAAACATGGATAACGTCGAACTTATTCAATTAAATTTACTGCAAACGGTGTATCTTGCCCAGAAATATTGCTGTTTTGGCTTGTATTAATATATTCCAGCGGTTGGCGATCCGTATCAATACCATCATCACCTTGCACGCTTTCTACTTCGATTTCAAGAGCTTGGTCAGTGAGAAAGCCATTTAAAACTTCAGCAGAGGGTTCTAACACCTCCTGCTGCTGTTGCCGTTGTCGTTGTGCTATCTGTTTAAGCCAAATAAACAATTGAGAAGGATTATTTAACGCTTCATTCCTTTCGGCCGCAGCCATGTTACTTTAAACTCATACGAAAACACCCACGCTGATTGGTTAATATTCCCGTAATACGTTATGTTCGCAAAAAAAGTTGACTTGCGATCAACTTTTCATTTCAGTTCGCGTAGTCCAGGAAGTACGCGTGATGTCATGGATGATGTAATCAACTCCTTGACTGCGCATGCTCATTGATACGTTTCGCCACGTTACAGCACGATACGCTTGAAGTGAAAAACGCCCTTAACATGAAGTATTGCGATATGCATTGTCGCATCGCTTCACTGATCAGAAATAAGACTGGATTTCGCATCTACACGGCAAAAAATGCCGAGCCCGTTGCTCAACAGGACTGAACAATGTTTTGCTGCTTACGTTGTTCACACTTGTCAACAGTATTGAACAATGTTGTCGAGCCTGAATCGGGTGTAACAATATTGTTCAATATTGTTGACAGCTATGAACAATGTGGGCAGCAAAACATTGTTCAATCATGTTTTCATCAGCATTGCCGTTTTTTGCCGTTGCAACGTTGCCGACCGGGCCAATTTTACAATCACAAAGATAGAAGCATACAAGAAGAATTTCGAGCAAAAAATTTGGAGTATTATGGCTTTATAACGCCGCGAAACGGGATTTACAACTATGAAGGAGTGGAGAGCCTCAGACTTTGTTTATCAACACGAGCTCGTTTTGCTACTTTCATACAAAATCAGCTCAAAATATACAAGAATTACTGTTACTGGACGAATATTCTCAGGAAATTTGAAGAAATGAAGCAGCTACATTGTGAACGAAAGCGTACAGAGGTTAGTGTTAAAATACCTTGAGCACTTCAATTTATAATTATATGAATTAAAATAAAAAATAAATCGTAAATAATTTACTATAGCACGCATACAACTGTTGGACGGCGTTGATCCGTGCAAATAGGATATGCAAATGAAAGATTCCCCATGCACTTTTATATAGCTATCTTACTTAAACCTGATATATGCTTCATTTAATAAATTCGTAAATGTCCGACTCGGCAAAAATGAAATTCATTCAGGTTAGATGACATCACATTGTCTTGTATGTATCAGATCGACAGAGTAGTATATGTTTTGAATAGTATATGTTCAAAGTTGATTTCCTGCTCTGACTCGTGTGTTGACGTTCCAACGCTTATAAGTTTCAAGTATCTCCTAACTTTGAATAAGACATTTATTTACAATAACTATATAATGTTACAAGAGCATGAAAGTCGCAAAATTATAGCTAACCATTTCACTCGAGTAGATTGTTTTAACGCTTTCTTACCATTCTTTTATTCATAATTTTGTAGAAACAAGAGCTAGCTGAATGTAAAATAAGAGTTTTGAATTAAGCTGATTCGTAATTTACATAAGTACTGATAACTTTTGCATAAGGTATAGTTCTGCTATGCAGTAGGAAAACGTTCCGCTTTTTTCTATAATTTACACGCCTTTTAAAAAACATTGCATATACTTTTAGTTTCATCGCTTGAGAATATATAACCTTTTTCAAACCCGATTTTACGGCTTCGCCTATATTGGGAAATCGAAATTTCAAAACATACATTCAAACGACATTCCTAATTAGCCTATAAAGAGGCATGTCTGCATGCATTATCAATCATTCTCAATATATGTTCCTGTGAAGAATTAAATTTAGCGTGAACAGGTATAAAAATGGCAGTATCAAAAGCTGCATTGGCAGCTATCAAGTTCGACGCTTTAAGGATATTTATCAAGCAAAATATATTAATAGCATTCATGCATATGACACTAAGACTAAGTAAGAACTACAAATAAGGGATATGTAGTAAGTTAAAATAATTGGTAATACATAGTTAATACATACAGTATATGCCTTCTGATATTTCAAACATCTTTAAACTGATACCTTTAAATATACCTTTAAATATCTTTAAACATCTTTAATTTATCTGCTTATCTTTTATGTATGTTAAAGTATTCTTTTGGTGTTTTCACACGTCCAGCTACACAAAGTCTTAATCTAAAATGAAATGATGTCGTGGCAATATACTGTATAAAAGCACTAACATATATTGAAGAACAACATCTGGTTTCAGCTGGGATTACAGATTCATAATCATGTTCGTTGTTTATGAGTTCCTAAGCCCAACCAAAACTATTCCATAAACAGTTGCATAGAAATCTAAATCCTCAATCGAATATTTTATAAAGTCGGTCTAAATTATAGTCGCGATCGGTGCATTTCGTCAACCTCTAATTTATTCTTCAAACATCAGCCATTCATGGAAAACACGAAACGGCGGACGAAGCACGAAAGAAAGTGTTTCTTGCAAGATTATTTATTGGTCTCTATAGAAAACGTGACAATGGCTAATTGTCTGAAAGCGTACAGATATTTGCTATATTTACAAAGAGGAGACAATTCGAAAATTTGAACTCAATGGATTTTCCAATGCCTCAACCCCCCCCCCCTTCAGTGCGTGGGGGAAAACAAATGCAATCTCTCATTTAAAAGCAATAAAAAAGAGCGTTCAACTTTCACTATTAATAGGAGCCGCGTTGTTGCGGTTTCTATTGCTATGTTCAATAATTTGCAGCTCCTTTCTTGTCAAGAATTTTGAAGAAATTAATAAATATTCCTCTTAGTATGTCCTTATTCCTTTCATTAATATCTTAGAGGCAACACCGCAGGGGCGGACTGGCCCACAGGGATACCGGGAAATTTCCCGGTGCGCCCCTTATGAAAATATTCTTTGGCGCCCCTATTTTGGAATTTTGTACATAATTTATATGTTATTTCGAAGAAAATGATAAAACTATTGAAGTAAAATAATGAAAAGATAACTTTGAGTATAACAAGTTGAGCGCAACAACCGCGATCGTTTTATGCAATTCGCGCCCGTCATAACAGTATATTAATAATATATAATCATTTTTACGTTATATAGACTTCATAATCAGAGGGAAAATGTTTATTGACAAAGTGGAAGCAATATTTTTTTTAAAACAACAAAACCAATATTTTAAATTTACATTGGTTATGTTTGGAATTCGGATGGAAATTATGTACTACACAGACTCAGTTTGCAATGATTTAAATTAATTGGATAAACATGAAAGGGCTCTCAAGAAAAGCGGTGCGCAGAGAAGGAAGGAAAAGCGAAAACAGGCATTGCTTGATGCCGGTTCTGATCGAAAGCAGCAAAAATTATGTTTTTCTTGTGAAAGTCGTAATAACAATGATCTACTTCATGGAGAAAACGCATCAAGTTCCTCTGAATCAACTCCAGGCGAAGCAAGAGATAATGGAACGGTACGTTATCTTACAAACTGATGTTAAATTAAGTAATAAACGTTTTCTGGTATTGTTATTACTTTAATATTGACGAGTATAAGGCATCTTCATGTTTTCTAGTTGGTATTTAAACCCTGGCAATATCCAACTGCTGATCTGGGTTATTAAAAATATGAAGAATTTAACATAAGCAATGTTGTTTAGAAAAATAAAAGCAAACATGTTTTAGTCTATAATGAAAGCACATAATTATAAACCAGTGCGTTTTTAAATTTTTTTTTAAATATAATTTTTATATAACGGCGATAATGATCCACATAGCAATATTTGCTTTTGTGTTGTTTCTGGTTGGTTTGGAAATAGAAAGTCTAGAAGTTAACTGCTTATATTTATCTTATACTTATTTTTTCAATTTTAATGCCTCTGCAGTGGTGAAGGGAAACCTGAATTTATTTATTTATCATTTCTATTGCGTTAATTAATTAATGCGTTTGATTACTTCCGGTCTATATTCAATTACATATATCTCTACTTCATGTAATATGCCTCATACTGAATGCACTCTACCATAATTACTTATTTCTGGTTTACTGCTTACGAAATATTTTTGAGATATACAGTATGTAGGTCCGTAAGTTAATTACGGCCTGCCATGTCCGTATACGGAAATATTTCCCAAGGTCTCAAAAAGAAGTTGGAACGTATTTTGATATAGGGTGATTACTTTTGCCGCACAGGTTTTAATTTTAGAAATAAGAATTCATTGTTGTCCTTAGATTGTGGCGTTTTACAGATTATTTGTCTAAAAAATCTAATGATCATTGATGTTTCACACAGAACTCGCCAGAACGGGAAAAAACCTTAGATGTTTTTACACCAGAAATACATGATAAAACCATTGATAACGAACGTGCAAAGATAGATGACAATAAAGATCACTTTCAAAAACTCTCAAGCAGTACTGCGATTCATCAGAAAGTAGCGTTTGTTCAAAGTAATTGTTGTCAACCAGGTATTGCAACCGTCCACAAGTTACCTTTTGGTCCTAAGCGAGTGTACCAACGGAAAGTGCAGGAAAAGAAGTACGTTGCTCGTAAATGGATCACCGTACAAGTTATAGATCACGAGGTAAAGGGTGTTTATTGCAATATTTGTGTAGCTTTTGCTGAATCTTCTTCTGCTTTTACCAATGGTTTTACTCAGTATTCACATATATACGAAAGAATCTCTGATCATGAGTCATCCAAGACACATAATTCTTCAGTAATGGCATTTGTCCACGCCCAGTCTAACAAAGATATAAGTTCTCTCACTAATTCGGAAATGGTTAATGCTCGACGGCGCGATGTTCAAGAAAACACTCGTGTCTTCGAAAGAATAGTATCTATAATCAAATACCTTGCTAAACGATCCTTGTCATTCAGAGGACACCGAAACGAGTCTTCATACACTTTAGATGATAGATCAGTTGATCATGGTAATTGTTTAGAAACAATCCTCTTGATTTCGGAATTTGATGTACCTTTAAACAGCCATGTACAGAAAGTAATTGATAAAAGTAAGAAAAGACGAGGAAATTTGAAACGAATAGGCAAGTAGAATAGTCGTGGACGTGGAAATTTAGTAACAATGCTTTCAAAATCCACAGTTAACAAGATTTTGCTAGCAATTATAAACATCATCAAATCAAAAATTATTCAAGAGATTGGAGAAAAGAAGTTTTCAGTACAGATGGATGGTACACAAGACACCGCAACAGTGGAACAGGAAACAATAATTTTGCGTTATGTTCTTGGCCTGGAAGTCAAGGAGCGTTTGTTTTCCGTACAGAAAGTTTATGATGCATCAGCAGCTGGCATTTTTCAACTTTTGAAGACAAATGTTGAGCAACAAGGTCTAAAGATGGAAAACATCATCGGTGAATCATTTTACGGAGCATCAAATATGCGTGGGGAATTCGGAGGTGTACAGAAGCTGATCAGAGACGTTTCATCAAATTCGGTGTACACATGGTTCTACGCTCATGTGCTAAACCTTGCTGCTACAGATATGGTAGAAAACATAACCGGGGTGAAAAATTTGATCGGCTTGCTTCAAAGTACCGCAACGTTTTTTTCAGATTCGTGCAAACGAATGGATGTTTGGAGCTGGATAATGATTGACGAAGCAGTTGGTTCAGCAAAGCTAAAGAAATTGCAGAAGATTGGTGACATTAGATGGTGGTCTAAGCAGGCAGCATTAGAAACAATTTTTGGGCCGTATAACAATAAATAAAAAACGGAACATATTTTGTCATGCTAAAGGTACGGAATGATATTGTGAATCTGCTCAAATTCAACGCAAAGGCATCTTTTGAGGCGTCGACGTTGCTTGAAAAATGGTTGCAATTCAGTAACATTCTGACTGCGTGTTTGCTACTTCTTGTGTATAGTATTTTACGTCAAGCATCCGATTACTTGCAAACAAGTGGTTTGGATTACCTTAGTGCTTGGAACATGGTGCAGTCATCAAAAGACGAGATATACAGAATCTTATTTGACACAGTGTACGAAGCGTCAATTAATTTTACCCAGTCAATGAGTGCCAGACTGGCTGAAGACGATCTTGACGATCTTGTGCGGTTTCGTGCAAATGCTTTTAGACGAGCAGTTGACCAGATTACGACTAGTATTGACGAACGCTTTAGTCAAAACGGTTAACTGATTAAAGATACAGCATATCTTGATCCACGACGATTTGATGAAATAGTCTTGTCTGGTGTTCCTGAAAACAGCCTTACTAAAGTTGCTAAGATAACTGGCGTTGACCCTTTGTCACTGAAAGAAGAATTATGCTGTTTTGCGAGAAATTTCACGGTGTTATCACGATCACTTCCTGATGACTCTGAAGGTGCTTCTGATGACTCTGTCACCATGACCAGTTCCAGTGAGGAAAAGAACAGTGAAGAGGAGAGCAGTGATAATGAAGACGGCGGTGTCAGCAAGAATCCAATACTAATCTCCCTCCCCAAACATCGGGCTTTGTAGACAAAAGCTGATGCCAAATATCGGTCTGATCTCATTGGCTTGAGACGGTTCCATTGCATCTTGAACCAGTTAAATTTTTCAACAGACCAGGGCTTGAAATAACAACTGATTACCAATCAATAATCAGCAAGAAATTGCTTATGATCAGTGGAAAAGCAGGGCTTTCAACCTGAAAAAGCAGGGAAAGTCATGACTGCCGATCACCATGATCAATCACCATGATCGGGAATTTTGGGAATGTTATTTCAGGCCCTGACAGACAAACACCATGTTGATAGTATGTGTCTATATACAGTATGTAAGCATAGTGTAATCATTTGTAATGAATCTTTTGTATTTGAATCTACTGTGATTAAAATATGTTTAATTAAAATGCCAGGTAAAATAAACTTGTTTTCAATAAAAGTTGGCTTCCAATGAAGCTGCAGCTTTGAGGCACCATTTCACTTGTGATGTTATACATTTTCATAGTGGACAGTATATAACAAGATGATGAATTTAATTAGATTAGACATAGGTTAGTAATAGGGGGAAGGGGCTAAAGGAAAAACTGGGCAATTATTGTCACCCATTTTTAACCAAGCTCCTTTTGCTATGGTGAAAGGTGTGAGGTGGGTTTATGGCACCTTAAAACCAGATTGCTCATTTTAGGTGGTTCTCATTGTCACCCATTTCTAAGTTCTAACCAAACTCCTTTTGCTCTTGCAAAAGGTGTGAAGGCAAGCAATCTAGTTTTAAGGTGCCAGAAACATGCTTGTGTTCAGCTTTTTCAAGGAGCTGTCCTTGTTGGATCATGGTTTACTATTTTTGGTAAATGTGTTTCCTAGGCATGCTGATGAACCAAGGTATACACTGTAGGGCAAAACAGTCTATATATTACTTTATCATATATATGCTGAACATTGGCAGGTACGAAAACTATGTCATTTGCGCATTTGTAGTTTGATAAAATAAAAGATCTATACTCCCACGAAAATTGGACTATCATCGTGACATCGAATGACGTCATGGCAAATGACGTCTTCACGTTTTGCGTCATCGATGACGTCATAGATTTTTGACTAACGTGTGAAAAATCCTAGATCCGCCCCTGATTTCATTTCCTGTGTATCGGAACATAAAGCAAACAATATTTGCGAAACATAATTTAGTATGTTCAACTATTCTCGAAATTAAAGTAAACAAGAGGCATATACATGCAATCAAAGGAATAATCCAATATAATATAAAACAAAAACGTCCGCAAAAATTTAGCCACAACATTCAATAATAATAACTATTATCTAATAACTAGTTTTATCGCTTCCTTGTATATTACTGTCCATCCTTCCCGCTTTTACATGCACCTATTTCCGCGAAAAATTACTCATATGTGAAGCTACATATAAATACTAGGACTTTACAATCACGTGCGAGACATATTACCACCCGATAGAGACACACATACGACAAAAGAATCCTATTTTTACTGGCTCGTATTTATGAATTCACAATTGTATGAATCGTTAGATTGTGATCAACGTGGATTTCTTAATACGCTCTCGTTTGATATAAACGTACGTTAATGAATAATTGACATTTTTGTAATACAAGCCTGGAGATGGCTGTCAATATTCAGCGAAGTTTATGTGCATGTCAGTTAGAATGAAATGACATGTGAAAACGTGTAGCAAGATTGAGGCAACAAATGCGATATTATTTTCTTGTCCAATCTTTTTTGTTTTTGTTATCACGTTATTATTATTGACAGTGGCGGAAATCTTGGTGGGGAGGGGGCCACCGCCCCCCCCCCCCACCTTCCGGAAAATTGACGAATTTTCGGAAATTTTGATCTAAAAGAAGGCTAAAAACAGTCATTTCGAGTGCAAATGGGGGGGGTACGTCGGAAATTTCAAAGTTTTGTCGGAAATTTAGGAGGCTTTGCTCCCCCCCCCGGAAAAAGTGAATTTCCGCCACTGATTATTGACTGTTGTAGCAATATTTATTGGAAAGTTTGTATTTCAGCCGTTGGTACTTGTTACGGAATGGCTATGTAAAGCTATATATATAGATTGTGTTAAACGTGGTTAAAAAATAAAAATATTTTGACTTTGTTGTTTCTGATGACATTTGTCGACTCTCGACTTTTTACTCTCGATCGACTCTCGACTTTTTACTCTCGATTCTCGACTTTTACTCTCGACTCTCGACTTTTACTCTCGACTCTCGACCCTCGACTTTTAGATACACTCGCCATCGCCACAGCATCAGGAAGGCACGTACTTCGCACTTTGCAGGGGTTTCTGGTCATCATCAAACGTTTTAATAGAATTTTACCAAAAAAGTTACCAAATACTTGAATTTTAAGAAATTTTACCAAAATTTTACTAAAAAATCTTTTTTACCAAATTTCTATCAAAATTGTCAAAATTTTACCAAAAGTAAAAAAATATACTGAATATGGTCACACTGAGAAGCGTTCCGAAAAATGTTGACCAATTCATTTCCAAACTTGAAGGAACACTTCTGAAGTTCCTAACTTCCTGTTTCATTGACCAATCAAATTTTCTTTTTTATTTCTGAGCAATCTGATTGGTCAATGAAACAGGAAATTACGAACTTTTTAAGGAACTTATCAAATTGTTGAGGAATTTTCAGAGGTGTTCATTCAAGTTAGGAAATGAATTGGTGAACATTTTTCGGGACGCTAGCTTCTCTTGGCACGACTGTAATAGGGCGAATACAGTAATTTTACAAAATATAATATTGCCATGATAAAATGAAGTAATATCAAGATAAAATGTAATAATATTTCAACAACATTTCATTACACTATAAGTATAAATAATCCAAACTTAATAAATTTCCAATAAAAAACAACAGATAATTACAAGAATTATCAGTCAACAATCCTCAATCAACACATGAATTATCAGCAAAATTTCAATGTCATTGTCAGTACCGAACAGTTTATACTGTATTTAAAAAAATAAAAACAAACAATTAAAAACAACGTATTACCCAAATTTGTTTCAATTTATGTTGCCCAACTAGTAGGGCAGCACATTGTCATACATACTCATATGACCTTCAAGTTCAGTGGCAATTTCAAACTCGACATCGCAGACACAAAAGATATAACTCATACCAGTTGCTTCTCTTGCTTCTAATTCCTTACACAAATCATATTTGTATGACATACCATGGTCTTTGGCCTTGTGCTGATTTAAACTTTTAAAATTAGAGAACTGTTTGTTGCATTTGTCACAGACAAAATAATCATCACCCAGTATCTCATTAGCATGTCCTTGTCCTTGTGATTGAATAATTTCCCCGCCACAACTGTTGCAGAATAATAAGCAGTGGCGCCGTGGCCGGGGGGGGGCAGGGGGGGGGGGACATTCATAAGGTTTGTCTCCTGTATGTGTTCTTTTATGTACAACTAAGACATATAACCGCAAAAATCTTTTGCTGCAAACATCGCATTCATAAGGTTTGTCTCCAGTGCGTGTTCTTTTATGAACCGCTAAGTAGCTTGACTGTGAAAATCTTTTGTTGCAAACATTGCATTCATAAGGTTTCTCTTTAGTGTATGTTCTCTTGTGAACCGCTAAATGGCTTGACCACGAAAACCTCTTCTTGCAAACATCACATTCATAATGTTTATCACATTCATAGGGTTTGTCTCCAGTTTCTCCAGTATGTGTTCCTTCATGACTAGCTAACCTGTCTAACAGCGCAAATCTTTTATGGCGAATATCACACTCATAAGGTTTGTCTCCAGTATGTGTTATTTCATGTCTAGCTAACCTGTCTGACAGCGCAGATCTTTTATGGCAAACATCATATTCATAAGGTTTGTCTCCAGTGTGTGTTCTCTTATTACAGTTAAGACATGTGTGACCTGGAAAATTGTTTGTTGCAAACATCACATTCATGAGGTTTGTTTTCAGTGTGTATTGTTTTATGTTTTAGCAAAGAGCTTCTCTGGGAAAATATCTTTTTGCACAAGTCGCATTTCCTAGACATGGTCTCAGCCATTCAGCTCTTTCCCCATCAATATAATGTATACAACCCGGGCCGCCGGAACGATAAAAAGGCAAAAGGGGGCATGAAATTGTTTGGGGGGATCTCCCCCCCCCCGTCGCCAAAAGAATTTTGGTCAGTGTACCATTTTAGGGGTCAAAACTTTTTCCGGACATAACAAAATTTTTCGTGACGTCAAAAATTTTTCCGGACATCAGCAATTTTCTCCATTTGTCCAAATGTTTTTTCTAAAATCCAAAAATTTTCTAAAATTTTTGTAAATTAACCTCATTCTTTTCCAAATTCACACTTATTTTTGTAAATTAACTTTCTCTGGGCCTATAAATTACCTGAATATCATGATTTTGCCCGAAAAAGCATCACTGGAAATGTGATTTATCAGGTAGTATTTTACAACTAAAAGGGCACTTATGCCCCCCTTGCCCCCCAGTTCCGCATCCCTGTACACAACATTCAATAGGCGCAATAATAATCACTTGTATAGTTAATATTTTGTATTTGCCGAGACACTTTTGTCACAATTGTTTCGATCTGACAATTAATCTATTATCTATATGATAAAGAAGAAGTTCTGCAGTATAAACTTTACTATGCATATACTATAAATACAAATATTATATAAAATTTAAATATTAAATCCCAAAATATTGGATAATCCTGCCATCCTACAGGCTATATCCGTATGAAATTGCATTGCTGGTATACCTATATAACTGATACTGAGTATTTTTTACCTTGTATATTATATCATGCATGTGCATGCAGTGTAGCATGCTTTTCAGCAGCAAATTTTCGTTCTCTGTTTAGATTTTAATATAATTAAACGAAAATCTAAAAAATAATATAATTTCAAAATCAAAAGTCCATAGTCCAAAGTCCAGTCCAAAGTTCAGTCCGGTGTTTACAATATTCCCAATTCAAAGCCCTGTTTGGATTTACTTCAAGAACAGTGCAGGCTGACTGAACTACTGTACGTTTTCTAATTTCATAATTCGATATAGTCGATATTTTTGTTCAATATTGATTGATATATTGATTGTTTCCTGATCACTTCAGCCTAATATTACGCAAAATATTTTCAATTTATCATGCCTTGCTAGTCGCACAGCACATTGTCATGCATACTCACATAATCTTCAAGTTTGGTGGGGATTTCAAACTCGGCATCGCAGACACAACAGATATAACCAATACCAGTTGCTTCTTTTGCTTCGAATTCCTTACAGACATCACATTGGTAGGACGTACCATGGTCTTTGGCCTTGTGTTGATATAAACTTTCAATATCAGGGAATTGTTTGTTGCACTTGTCGCACACAAAATAATCGCCACTCAGTATCTCACCAACATGCCCTTGCTCTTGAATAATTTCCCTGCCACAACTGTTGCAGAATAATAAGCCATCTCTTGAATGTACTCTCCAGTGACGTTTGAGACTTTTATCTTGTGTGAATGTTTTCTTACATTTAGCACACTCAAAACACTGTTTTACCTTGTGTAATGATATTTTATGTCGTGCCAACTTGTATGATTCTGAAAATCTCTTCTTGCAAATGTCACATTCAAAAGGTTTCTCTCCGGTATGTGTGTTTTTATGAGTGGCTAAGTGGCTTGATTGTGAAAATCTCTTCTTACAAATATTGCATCCATAAGGTTTGTCTCCAGTATGTGTTCTTTTATGCTTGGTTAAGTTGCCCGCGCATGAAAATCTCTTCTTGCAAACATCACATTCATGAGGTTTCTGCCCAGTGTGTGTGCTTTCATGTGTAACTAAGGTGCTTGAGTGTGAAAATCTTTTGTTGCAAACATCGCATTCATAAGGTTTGTCTCCAGTGTGTGTTCTCTTGTGGGCAGTAAGGTGACCTGACTGCAAAAATCTTTTGTTGCAAACATCACATTCATAAGGTTTGTCTCCAGTGTGTGTTCTCTTATGTACAGTTAAGGCATGTGATCGGGAAAATCTTTTGTTGCAAACATCACATTCATGAGGTTTGTGTTCTGTGTGTGTTCTTTTATGTTTTAGCAAAGAGCTTCTCTGTGAAAATATCTTGTTGCACAAGTCGCATTTCCTAGACATGGTTTCAGCTTTTGATCTTTTCGCCGTACGGTCAAATTACGATAAAAAATATCACCCAACTGTTCCCTCGAGTCGTTCTTTATTGAATCTGTACAATACCTCGGTTCTTACAGAATTTCTGATCATAAAAATGAGAATATTCAGAGATACAGTTTGCAAACAACACGAGTATCAAAATATAGGATTTTACTACATCCCGGGCGTTCTTTGTCAGTGCCCGCGATCACAATTAGTATTATCAGCGGTATATGATGATAACATCGAGTGATTCCTGAAATCACAATGTTTGAAAGAAAACATCTTAAAAGCCAAATATAAATTATATAATACTCGATGTGAATTTATAACTTGATTAAACTGTAACAGTTTGTCAGCATGTTAATCTATATTTCAAGATATCAGTTTGCTTCTAGTCAGTTTATTTGATCCAGACATATTGCCTTTTAATTTTTTTGACAAAACTGTTTATGTTTTAGCACTAATTTCACAGATCTTATATGAGCTAGTAACATTTATAGCAGCTCAAATAAAAAATAACCAAGTGACTGGACAGACGGGAGTTATTTCGTATTTTGTAGCAATATAAAAACTTTTGTTTGCGGTAATCTTCACCAAGTTTGTCGTTAGCTCAAGCGGTAAAGGCGCTGCGTACCGAAAGTGAAACGGGGTCGGGATCGATGCCGAACATTTATTATCTGATTTAGCTCTTTTTCTCAATTTTTTGTAATTTTTTTCTTCCTTCCTTTTTTAACTCTTAAAAGTTAGGCCGGTTAGTGTTTGGGATCGGTATAAAATCTAAAGTACTTTAAAAAAGTTTTAATCTTTTTTTATCTGGTTGAAAATGTTTGAATATTGAGTTGCGAACTCAACCGCTGGTAATTCTAATTGTGATCGCGGGCACTGACAAAGAACGCCCGGGATGTAGTAAAATCCCAAAATATAGCGCCCAAAAAGATTCATGTGGTGTTTCCACTTTACAAAACAAAAAATATTGATGCGCGAGATTTCGCAATCGTTAGAATAAACTATGACACGACTTCGTCCTATTGAAATATTCGCTCACTTTCGATTGTATAACTATTTATTTGAAGATAAACATAACTTTAATAGACTTAATAATATGAATTGATTTTCTAAAACATGTCCGACCGAATGTACACATCAGAGAAGAGAATCTCATTAATCTTTAACCAATCATATTTAGCGTTATAGAATTTGGCGGGAACTTATTATTCTTGACACTCCCACTTAATGAGTTCACGATAAAATGTGCATTCACTTATAAATTTAACTTCAACAATTAAATTACAATGTTTAAACAGATGTAATCCCAATCAAGTCCCTTAACTTTTCATAAGTTGATCTTGCTAATCCTTTTGTTAGTATGTCTGCTTTCATATCATCTGTTCGACAATATACTACATTGATCTCCTTCGACTGAACACGTTCTCGAACGAAATGATGGCAAATGTCAATATGTTTCGTTCTATTATGATATTTGGCATTCTTCGCCAATTCTATTGTTCCTTGGTTGTCTTCGAAGATTGTTATCGGTTTTCTGATTTTAAATCCAACGTCATATAAGAGTCTTTGTAACCATATCGCTTCTTGCGTGGCTAAACTTAAGGCAATATATTCTGCTTCTGTTGAACTCTTCGCGACTGTCCTCTGCCTTTTGCTCGACCAACTAACTGTGCTATTAGCAACTTGAAATACATAACCTGATGTTGATCGACGAGTATTAATATCTCCTGCCCAGTCAGAGTCTGAATAACCGACTAGTGTAAGGTTTTCATCTGCTGAGTATTTCAGGCCATAATCTAAAGTTCCTTTAAGATATCGTAATACACGTTTCACCCCGATCCAATGATCTTTGCTAGGTTTTGCCATAAATTGTGAAAGTGCTCCCACTGCAGCTGAGATATCTGGTCTTGAAATCACTGAAAGATAGGTTAGGCATCCAATCGCTTGCTGGTATGTTTGTGTGTCAAATTTTTCATCCTCATTTGACAACTCTGAAAACTTTGTCCCAGGTTCCAGTGGTGTTGAAACCGGTTTACATGATTCCATTCCGAATTTGCTTAGGACTCGTTCCACGTAATTACGCTGACTGATTGTAGTAACTCTGGCTTCTCGATCTCGTTTAATCAGCATTCCCAATAGGTAATGAACTTCACCTCTGTCATCCATCTTAAATCTTTCGCTGAGCGCTTTCTTCTCTGAATTCAGCATTTGGATATCGTTGGAAACTGGAATTATATCGTCCACGTAAACTCCGAGTATCACAAAACTTATTCGACCACCGTCCTTTTTAACCGATTTAACATAAATGCAACCATCTGCACCACTTTTTCTGTATCCTCTCGACTTTAAGTATCCATCGAGCGTGTCATTCCAACAGCGTGCAGACGGTTTGAGACCGTAGATACTTTTCTGCAGCTTACAAAGATAATCTGGTTTGTCTGGATTAACAAAACCTTCCGGTTGTTGCATATAAATGTCGCAATCAATGTCGCCATTTAAAAAAGCAGTTCGAACATCCATTTGGTGGACTTCGAGATCATATTCGTTGGCTAATGCCAGTAATGTACGTAAAGATGTATGTCTGGCCACGGGGGAAAATACTTCGTCATAATCAGCTCCTTTTGTTTGGGAGTATCCTTGAGCTACAACTCTCGCTTTGAAACGATCAATTGATCCATCTTCTTTTCGCTTTACCTTTAGCACCCACCGCGATCCGACTACGTTTTGATCATCACAGGGAGGAACCAATTCCCATGTATCATTTTCTAGTAATGAAGAATATTCTGAGATCATCGCGTCTTTCCATTCCTTCGCATACTTCCCATTCAGCGCTCTTTGGACACTTTCTGGATCATCAACTTCAGATGTTAAAGACTCGACTACTGGACATGCATTGTCTCTGAACTTACTCGGAATCATACGCTGTCTTACAGGACCTAAATTTTTTACGTTTTCCATAAACCGCTCTTCGTATGTTTTCGAAGTAGATGGGGTTTCACTTTCTCCCACTGGTTCGTCGTTCTCGGGATTAACGGGCTGCTCCATGGTTTCATTCAAGTTAATGTTTGTTTCAACAACAGGATCCACTCTGAACTCATCCTGATCTTCGTTGAAGGTTTGATCATCAAGTTCATCAACTCTATCTAGATCAAATAACTCAACAGTTTGTTTTTCATCATCCGGAACTTCAATTCTCTCTTTCTGCTCAAACACAAAGTCATTCTTTGGGTTCTCAAAATTATGAAATTTCTTCTCTAAGAATTGAACATCTCGACTTATCATGAACTTTCTTCTTTTAACATCATAAACTTTACATAACCAACAAATATAGCTTCATAAGACTTTTGGTCTAATTTTCTACGATTACTGTCCGGGATATGAACATAGCACATACATCCAAAGACTTTAAGATTAGAAACATCTGGCTTTTCACCGAAAATGCATTCATGAGGGGTTTTGTCCTTTAATGCAACTGTAGGACTTCGGTTATGTAGGTACACGGCTGTATTGCACGCTTCAGCCCAGAAGACTAGGGGCAAATTTGCATGATATATCATGGATCTTGCAGATTCTAAAATCGTACGGTTTAATCTTTCTGCCACACCGTTTTGTTCAGGGGTGTAAGGACAAGTGAATTGTTGGACAATGCCCTTCTCTGTACAGAATTTGGAGAAACTGTTCGATTTGTACTCACCGCCGTTGTCGCTGCGCAGAATCTTCACTTTATTATGATTTCCATCTTGATTTTCAACATAATTCACAAACTCCTTGAACTTAGTAAGTGCTTCATCTTTCTTCTTAATAAAGTAAGCAACAGCATATCTGGAATAGTCATCAGTAAATGTGATCAAATAACGGCTACCGCCAATCGACTCAACTTGCATTGGTCCACATATGTCAGTGTGTATGATTTCATAAGGTCCGCTTGCCCTATGTAGACTTGCTTTTGGAAAGGGATTCTTATGCATCTTTCCCATTGAACATCCTTTGCAATCTTTCTCCACTTGTTTACTTTCATCATACATCATTCCGGTGACCATATCATTCTTCATCAGTTGATTAACATATCCATTGTTTAGATGACCAAATCTCTGGTGCCACATATCCAAGGGTTCAGTTGTAGGATGGGCAAATTCAACTGGATTAACAGTATACAGCATACCATCTACCAATTTACCAATCACGTATTCTTTTTCTTCTTTGGAAACCACACATTTTTCGTCATCGAATGACACTTTAGCTCCCATTGAAGTCATTGCAGGCACAGACAATAGGTTTTTTGCTAACATCGGCACATACAATACTTTGTGTAACTCCAAATAGAATGTATTGTCATTTTGAGTATATAGCTTAACCATTCCTTCACCCAGAGCTTTGATACAGGTATTGTCACCCAAATAAATATTCACCGGTGTTTGGTATTGAGTGTAGTTGATGATAAGGTCCTTGCGATTTGTCATATGCTTTGTCGCAGCTGAATCCACATACCAATCATTTGAATTTCCTGTGCTTGAAATCAGTGCTACTCCACCACCTTCCGCAAACTTCGAATGTTCCCCTTTGTTTCCACCTTTTCTATTGTTGAGTGGACAGTTCCTGGCGATGTGTCCAGCTTTGTTACACTTAAAGCATAAAATATTTCTTGCTCTTCCATCATCACGTTGTTGTTGTGCTGCTGGTGTCAATGTATCCCCACCTTTATTGGTGTTCCATGATGGCTTGTAGTCTACAGGAGTCCAATTTCTAGAATGTTCACCATGTCTTCTTCGATCATAATTTCTTCCTCTGCTCATGTATGACTTCCTGTTTGTAAGCAATGCATTGTCACTCTTGTTATTCTCAAATTTTTCCTTTCTCTTCAAATACTCTTCTATTAACAATCCCTTTATATTGTCCCATTCCAACTCTTCAGCTTTCCTCGCATTCAAACTTGTGAGGAGATTATCATACGATTCGGTAAACTCCCTAGCACCACAGTAGCGAATTTCTTTGATGATATATCTTCTTCCATTTCACGCAGTTGTTCTGCCAATGATGTCATATAGGTCAGGTGTTTCATAAGATCTCCACCTTCTTCCATGGTGGCTGCGTAGAATTTACGATTCAAACGCACGACTTGGGTAACAGATACAAACTCAAATTGTTTTTGCAAGTTCGTCCATGCTGCTAAAGGATCTGTCGTACTCGAAATGTGTATTTGCAAGTGTTTCTCGACGTTTAAGGCAATCAGAGAGTAGGCTTTATCTGATCGCAACTGGAAAGCATTCTTTACAGCATTTGTCGCATCTTCGTCAGGAGGTATTTCTTTGCCTTCTTGTGTAAAGCCCCAAAGGCCACGTTCCATAAGAACTAGCTTGACATTGTATTTCCAAGACTGATAATTCTTGCCATTTAGCTTATCGATCTTCGTAATTTCCGCCATATTAGACTCGAAATATTTTCACCAAAATTTCCGCCAAACAGGACAAATAAACACGTTTTAATTCAATTCCACCACGTCCTGGGCCCATAACCTATTGAAATATTCGCTCACTTTCGATTGTATAACTATTTATTTGAAGATAAACATAACTTTAATAATATGAATTGATTTTCTAAAAAACATGTCCGACCGAATGTACACATCAGAGGAGAGAATCTCATTAATCTTTAACCAATCATATTTAGCGTTATAGAATTTGCCAGGAACTTATTATTCTTAACACATGCAGGTGTGATTTCATGAAGTTCTGTGAAATAATGACGAAGAAAATGCATTGAGAAGGAGGCGAGATGTGGACAGAGAAATAACAATTCTTCGCAGAGAAATAACAATTTAACCAGACGCTCCACTCTCCACATTAGGGTTAGCCGATATTAAAAAAATCATCTCACAATTATTGTCAAGGAAATTATCACAATATTAGATAATATCGCGATAAATGCAATGAAAACAATGACCACATTTTTCAATTTTAATTAATACCAAAACATAGTAAGCTTATATATAATCTTATTAAAACAAGTAAAACAACAAATTAAAGTAATATAAATGCTTATTTTAGTCTACTATTTACTGTTCATAAACCAGAACTGCCTATACGACACTGCAGTGTCTACTGTGTCTCCGCTGGCACACATACCGTGGACACACAGCGCAAGCAAAACCTGCAATTTCATTGTTTAGTGGAATAATACATAAATATTAGCTTTTGTATCGTATTAAATTCGTATTTAATTCAGGAAATAGTTTGAATTCTTTAAAAAACTATATTTTCTAGGAATTGAAAGAATTTTTTAGGATTTTATTATAAAAAGCTATATACAGTCACATGCGAAGTAATATCACGATATAGTCAATCATCGAGCATGACGATAATTTTGATATATCGTCGCTCAAGTTTCTACCTTCGATACAATAATGACGATTGAAATATCACGATAAATCAAAATATCGAAATATCGCCCAACCCTACTCCACATTATACTCGTTCGAGTGCAGCCAAGTCATACAACTTTATACAACTCACTTGTTTCCAGATTGCTAAACAAGTGTAACCAGCTTTTTGATATGTCGACAATGGCACTTCTGTTAAATTGTTATTCTGTGTCCATAACTCCCCCATGGGGGGAATTGGAAGTTAACACTCGGTCTGTCTGCTCGAATGTCCTAATATGCTTACTATTATGACAGAAACACATTTTTCTCCCCTCCCTCTCCGGGCAGCCGGGAGGTGGATCATTTCTGGAACAACCCATTCCATTCATGGCCATTCCTATATTAGTCAGCTACACATCTTCCCATGGTCTGTCATTTGCTTTGTACAGGCCCATAGTAGAAGCATTTTGACAGGAGATCTCTTTGACAGGAGGTTAATGTCAAAATATGTTGTTGCAGCAGAAAAGGGAACTATAATAATTTTGTCAGATAAATACTGTCAATTAATTGTATATTGAGATCCAGTGTTGGACCTGTTAATTAACCCACTGTTTTGATTTGTGGAGTACACTGTTACCACTGACATAATTTTACCCATTGCACCTCAGTCTATAGCTGTAATTTAGACTCTTGCACTGAATACTGGGTTATACTGTACTGTAAGTGCTGAATGACAAAAAGTAGATAGTAGAGGCATACTCAGGCATTCACAATCATATAAAGTTCAGGCATTGGGGAATTTTTATTTGTGTACACTTTGCAGGGCCTTTTTAAAGCCTCCCCCAATCCCCATGGCCCCCTCCCCCAATCCCCATGGCACCCCCAGTCAATTACCATCTTCGTCTAGGTCACTGTCCCAGTGCATGTCCAGGGCTTTTCTCTAAAATATAAGAAAAACATTGGAAGAAAATTGGAATATAGAAGGGAGATTTGATATTCTAGACTACTGAACTACTACTAGTAACTGAACCTTGCTTTGTAAAAATCTTATGTCAGTCATGTATTTTACCTTCAAATGATTCAATGTCTTTTTAAAAATGTTAAACATTGTGTTTTAAATACCTTAGATTTTATAAATTTCCCAGTGGATAGCATATCCCAGTCCCTACAGATTTGAGTTGTTGGATGGCTAGGTGAAACAAGTTAATGACCAAGTTGTGATTGAGTTGTTGTGGTATTTACATATTAAACATATATACCACGCAAATACCAAGATTCAGCATTGTATATCCAAGAATCTGTTTCAGAAAACGCAAAAACGCAGTCCTAGTAGTGGAAAAATACGAACATATTCTGAGGGTGAATCCCACCCCCCCTACTGCATGTTATTATGTATGACCCCACATCTCTCCAAATAGTATGTCCCCTTTCTGTTGACCCCCCCCCCCCACTGACGAATTTGTAAAAACGGAGATTTAATACGGGGAGGTTGCCAAGTATATCACTAGTCTTTTGCTGCTGCTAATCTCACGCCTTAAATATAATGAAAACTTTCATATTTTTTGTTGTCAAATCATTGTTGGGCTTTGTTAAAATGTAGGGGTTATCCACCTCCCACCACACGTTCTTAGTACAGCTTTTTAAGGAAACTGATTTAAAGTGGCACATCAGGCCCATGGTCTGGCTTACTATATGTCTACATACGTTGTACTGTCTGTATATTCTTTTTTAGTTTTGAGGAACTGACACTATCCGGAAAAGGTGTTCTTGAGGTAAAGTTGGCCAATCAATTGCGTATTTTAGAGTTAACTACTATTTAACTACAAAGTAGTGGTTAAATAGTACTGTAGTTAAAGTGTTTTATACAAGGAGTGGCTCAGTCTTGCATTCTAATATTTAATCTTGGGAATCCAACTCATTGATTGCCTCGTTGAATATAAGAGGAGTTTGAACGAAAAGGTGTTGTCTTAGTAGTTCGTGAAAAAGATGCTTTTGCAAGCACGGAAATGTGGGTGCATCCCATACCATATATTTCCAGGAACGAGACAATCGGGAGTCTGTTTTCGTAGGCTAACGCTTTGTGGAAAGACATTTTTATTTTTAATCATAAACTATAATACACTTGAAAGGAATTGCATGATTGTGTAATTTGTACAATATTATCTTATTCTCAAGGGTGAAAATCTTACTGAAGCTTTAAAAAGCTTGCAAGCTCTGGAAATAGATAGCAACAGTGGGGAAGAAATGAGGTACACTGTAGCACTTGCTCAGCACTATTTAGCCCGGGAAGAACAAGGATGAGAGCGCACGAGAGCTGGCAATCATGTCACCTTGGTTAGCTGTTCTTTAATTAATGCTTTCCCAACACTAAGTTAAAACGTAATTGGAATACTTATTAAAGATAACTCAAACCTTTATTTTGTTAATCTAGAGCTTGATATGTCCCCTGTAACAATGCGAGACTAACAACTATGTTCAACTCTCATTCTTGTTTGACCCGGGTTCCTCAGGACGCAAAAAAAACAGGATATAGACATATTAAATAAACATGACTGGACTTGAAGACTTCGGTAGTTGTTAGAGTGGTGACGCAGTCCGGCGTCAGAACAGGGTTCGATCAGTTCTCGCTACGGACTCATGTGAAACGAGTCAGTCAACGCTCTGCCAAAAGTCGTGGGGTTTTTTCCGGGCGCTCCGGTTTCCTCCCACAGGGAAAGAACTTTAACAGGGTGGGTTAGGATAAACACAGTTAGGAAAGTAATATCGCAATTGTTGTAAAGATAAATAATGTAGGCTACTGTAAGTAGTAAGTAACTTACATGACTTTACATGAGCGTATACTTGGTGTAATCGGTCACTGAAAAGCCCCAATGGGGAATGAGCTGAATAATAATGTAACAACTAACATGTATAGTTGAGGTACAGTAAATCTTACATTTACCCTGCCATGATCTTAGCCGTGCCGCACTGACCCTTTCACTTGTTAAATCAGGTTGAGCTATGTTCTTTGTACAGTAATTAATTCAGCACTGCACTCAGCTGCAAAGAACTGAATGATTAGCAATTCCCTCCACACTTACAACTACAATAAACCCACACAATTGCATTGTTTAAAGTGCACATTCCCTTGACTGTACAGATTTTTTAATAAATAGACTGCCTTTTAAACTCAGTGCGAACGTGCGAACTAACCACAAAATGTGATTTGTGTAATATTTGGGTCATTCAAAGAAGAAATGTGATATTAATATCTTTATAATAAAAAATCCCATCTTGATCAACTTTTTCACTGTCAAAATTTCCGGATATGATGTCATTAGGTGAATTCCAAATTCATTTTCCTTTGTTTTTTTGTACCAAAAATTCACTTGATGACATCATATCTAGGAACTTTCACAGTGAAAATGTTATCAAGATGAAGTTTTTTACTATAAAGATACATTACATTTCTTCTTAAAATGACCCGACTATTACACATATCAAAAATTATATTTGGGGTTAGTCTTACTTTAAAAAAGGTTTGATTTGGATCTTAATTAAATAAGTTACTGTCGATGCAATGGAAGTGTTGATAAAATATTGCACCAATTTCTTCCTTAAGTTGATCAATTCATTTGATAGAAAATTGATCAAGTTCCTGTTACTTTTAAATGAGCCAATTAGATTTCGTTTCAGAACCGATTGACCAATAGGAAACGCACAGGAAGTAAAAAGAGATTTGAATTCGTATGAATTGATCAACTTGAGGAAACGAATTCATGCAATATTTTATCAACACTTCCATTGCATCGACAGTAACTGTGAATAAATCTATAGTTCTCAAAACAGTTTACAGGTATACTGTATATAGCCATATACTGTAATAACAGTATGTGCTGAATTGTGCTGTGCACCATTGTATTTTCAGACAAGAAGTAGAATTCCTAGTGGAGGAGAAACAAGCCTTAGAAGAAAGACTGGATGCGCTGGTGAAGCAAAGAAACAAAATGAAGTAACAGTCCTATCACAGGAACAATTTACCATTACTGATAAAATATCGCATCAATTAATTACTTAGAGCTGATCAATTCATTCGTTGAAAAATTTATCAACTTCCTGTGTGTTTGAATCAACCAATGGCTTTGCGTTTCAGTGACTGATTGAACAATTGGGAACAAGCATGCCAGTAAACAGGAAGTTGAGCAATTTTTGACCAAATGAATTGATCAATGTTAGGTAATGAATTGTTGCAATATTTTATCAACACTTCTATTGCAACGACAGTAATGGGTTTTTGAATGGTTTTTAAAGATTTACCATGCATACCATCAATGTAAAACTGAACTTATTGGTCATTATAGATTTCCCATATGTTAAATTGGTAAAAAACCATGATGGTATGATGTTTAATATTTACCATTAATAGTATTTTCCTGTACAAGTAAGTACCACATGCATTAATGATAAATATTAAACGTATTGACCTAAGAGCCGCACACCATGATTTCAGGTTTCACTCTCGTCTTCATGAACAGGCTCCCCCATGCGAAGCGACCTCCAATCAAAGATTGGCTACCTCCACAAAAATAAAATTCAAAATATTAGTATTTCTGTTGCCGATATTATCGGTATTGTATTATTACCAAATTTAACAATATATTGTTGTACTTAAATTTAAAGTACTTGTTGGATTCCAATTTCGTTGTAATGTTACACAACTCTCAATACAATCAATATTGTATTAATATAATTTTAATATACAGCTATAGCTATAGTCAAAGACGTTATCAAATGCGTATGATAAGTATTATTGCATGATTGGCCACTCTTAATTGTGTTCTCAACTTATATTCGATACATCACTAGTAAGGGTCGCACATACATTTATAATCAAAAGCAAATCGATTGTTCTTTTCTGTTTTTAGTATTTTGAGCACGGAATTGAACTTTAAACTGTCAAAAATGAATGAGTTGGAGGACGAAGTAAAAACGAAGTACAAGACATCTTTGGAGCAAGCTTATTCTGACAACGCAGTGGTAAGGAAAGATTGCGGGGTTGTTTTTTTTGTTTTTTATTAGTTTAAAACCTCTTACATAGTTACATGCAGTACTTAGAACTGAATTACAGGAAGTTCTAGAGTAAAATTTATATAATATTCTATATACATGAATACATTACATATAAAATTAAATAATTACAGTACATACAGTAGTTTAATGTCCACGTTCAGTTACAATGTTTTGCACGACTAGCAACGACACAGGTGGGGAAAACGAGAAATTGTGTGGAAACACGACGCCCGGAGGGCGGAGTGTTTTCACATAATTTCGGATTTTCCCAATTTTAACGAGTTACGGGAAAATATTTTACCTCCTGTATATATTTTTTATAATATAGCACAAAGAAATATAAAGAAAGAAATTTTCCGTGTTGGCATTGAGTTATGTCAACACGGCTCTTAGCTAATCAGCGTTCAGAATTTACAATTGCTATATTATGAATGCATATACTGTATCATTAGGCTCCGAAATCGTTTAAATTTCAGTACTATCAATGAGACGTTCGTTAATATTTGCCTCAATTTTACTGTATTTTTACATTGTTCATTTTTATCATCGAAGCTTAATAAAAGCATGGAAGAGCTCTCGAAGACAGTGACAGAGTTTACTGCAATGTACGATTTTCCTGGTACATCAGAAGGTAAGTGTGGTTCACAAAAGTACAATACCTTCATGAACTTGAATACGGTAGTCCATACAAATTCTGAAGAGGTTTCCAATCAGTCTGCAGTTGCTACTGTAATAATAATGGAAACTGTAATAATTTTGTTATATACTATATATATACAATTGTAAATCTCACTAATTTAAGGTAACTTACAATTGGCTATTTGAATCACTACTATATGAACTAATAAAAATGACAAGACAGAATACATGGAAATATGTAAATATATATACAAGACAATCAGATATTTCAAATAGTTAACAAGTCCGGACTTTCCCATTCCTTATTTCGACAGCAGAAAATATAGTATGTACTTTGAATGGCAACATTTGGTAGTTTTTGTCCAGACCAACATTTCCTAACATTTCTAAGAATGTAGAGCATTCTTGCGCAAAAATACCTATGGAGCTCATGGAAAGATTTATAAAGTTTACTTCGTTAAAATTTTCGTCTAGTTGTTTTACTAGTTCTTTATATTTGGCTTTTTTCCGATTAACGTTGTTCGAGGTTTGTCTCATGGCCAACAGTGAGCTCGACAACATAAAGAGAGCCATTTGATAACGATAGCAACAAATCCGGGCGATATGTATCACCAGTTATTATTGACGGACTTTTGAATCCAGGCACATCAGCGTAGAGGGCAGAACCGTTCACAGTTTGCAAGGTATTGGCAAGGAAGTTCAGGATTGAATTGTGCCTCCACGTAAATCGATCGAGATAACACTGACATCCAGCGACCACGCGCAATAATGATTCTGGGCCAAGACAAAAGGAGCATTCTGAACTTGAAGACAATCCCCATCTGCTAAGGTTCTTGCGTGTCGGAAGGGAGTTATTGGTATAGCGTATGGTAAAGTTATAAATGTTTTTCGGAAGTTTTGATTGAGCAGTAGACCACACTTTGCTAAGATGCGACAAGGAGAACTTTGTTACACTAGAGAAAAAGGATCCCTGACAAGTTAATTGATTTTGGAGTTTATCTTCATGTTCAGACCGAAAGTCTTTAAACACTTCTTTGGTTGAGTTATAAAAGTTGTATTGTATATTAGTATGAGTATTAGTAGATTTCCACAGTTCGTTGATTGATTGATTGATTGATTGATTAGGAGAAAGCTTTTCGAAGAACTGTTTGGCATTGGATATATTATAATAATAATAATAATAATAATAATAATAATAATAATAATAATAATAATAATAATGGAAACTTTATTTATTTCATAATATACCATAAAACTATATTTACATTGATAAACCTCGCTCATAAAGGTAGTTTATCGATGACTACTTGAAAAATATTTGGATTATATAAATTTACAAAAATAAGGAATTTAATATCGTTCAAAATTTTAAAAGCTCTGGGCTAGTCCAGTCTTTGTTTCATTGACAGAATACATAATATGATGCGCGAATACAAGTAGCAATGATTTTCTTTTTAATGTATTTAATTTGTTGTTCATCGAACTTCAGTTCCTTGAGCATATCAGTTAATGTGTTCGTCGATTGACCAAAAACACCCAGCGAGCTTATGGATACATTAACAAATTTTACCTTATCATAGTTACTTTCTTGATCTGAAATAAGCGGCAAGTATTTTTTATGTTTTCGATCTGAGTTAGAGTTAAGATTTGTGCAAAGCCAACAGTCAGTTCCAAAACATATAAAACTTTATTTTCAATTGCCAAGAGAAGGTCTGGACGTAACTGATCACCAGTTAACTGACGGAGTAATAAAGCCAGGCAAATCTACGTAGAGTTTGGATCGCTCGGCACTCATAAGGCTGGATGCAATGAAGTTCAGGACTGAATTATGCCGCCACGTAAATCGCCTTTCATCTAGATATGCTTTGCAACCAGAGATGACATGCAGGAGTGACTCAGGAGAGGAGCAATAGGAACAATCAGCAGACCATGACAGACCCCATTTCACCAGGTTTTTCGGAGTAGGGAGGGAGTTGTTGATATAACGGACAGTGAAATTAAATATATTCTTAGGAAGTCTGGATTGAACGGATGACCATAAGGAATTGAATGATGACGTGGAGTTTTTGATGATACTTGAAAAGAAAGAACCTTGTGAGATAATAATAATAATAATAATAATAATAATAATAATAATAATAATAATAATAATAATCCCCGAGCCAACGGCGCCGTGCGAGGGTACTAATTCCGCCCGGCTATTTATCCCCGGGGAAAAGAAAGCATTAGCGAAGTCTAAAGTTCATCAGTGATCGCGGGCATGGGTGACCAACGATGGGTGGTCATCCTCACTGGTCTCAAATTATAGCGGACTGTCATGAATATAGCGAACACTGATTGATCCAATTTAAAATTTGCATTACAACGACTGCATGACGACAGTGTCGGCGAAATAGCAAACATTTCTTGATTTGATGATTTCTTGCAAATATATTTCATTTTTGCAAGATTTTGTAGATTTCAAAACGACAAAAGCTTTTTGATAAAATAAAGGCGAAAGAATTGCTACTGAAGAAGTGAGTGAAGGCGCCGACGTTAACGAAGGTAAGTTTGTTTTAAATATTTAATAATTGTTTGCTTTATAATTGCTTTAAGGTGGCTCCCTACAGTTATAGTCCAGTTTAAAATATTTATATAGCTCAGACGTCATCCTCGCGACTCCAGCGTGGAATCGTCGTGGCCCGGTAAAAATCTTGAAACAAGTAAACAAGCCGCGGGAAGTTGTTTTTGTATTTTTATCTACAAAGAAAACGCCAGTTTTTTATTATAATCCTAAACTTTTCAACATTCGAACAGTACGTATGTTGTTAGCTACTTTTTACCTACATTCAGTGTGTTTTTTTATATATTTAATACGTTCAGTACTGTATTTCATAATGCTCACAATGTTCAACAACAGTGTCACGGACTGAAATTATATTTTATACTGTCTTGAAGACACTCCTGAATTGTCACTGAAACTTACGTAAACCCTGTCATTCAACTCAGTTCACATGTAGTTTTTTATCTGCTGAATCCAATAAAAATATAATGCAGACAGTTACGAGTTGTTTTATACGAAAAGTCAAACTCTACTTGAATGTTTTGAAAAGTTTTCACACCGATTTTCATAACAAAACTAAATTTAAGAAACGTTCATTTAAGTCAGTGCGTTATTGTGTTCTCAATGTTTCGTATTTTGAATACATATATCTTTTATTTTCATTTCAAATAAGTAAAAAATATCTGTGTGATACATATAAGCCAAAAACTCAAAGAGAAAATTGCTAAAAAGCCAACTATAAACCCTGCTATAAACCGTACGCGTTTCGTGTTCCCCACGCAAATAGTGATCATGTCACAGATGAGGTAGATACAGATGTGAATCTTCCGTCAAATTGCTGATTGTTTTGTGTCACACGGAATTCTCACTTCCGGCGAGCGCTGGCAAGTGTCGTTCTGAAATTTAATAAGGAAAGAGATAGGAAAACGCCGTTCGAAAGACGAAAAATTGTTTTTTTAAAAAATCTACGCTACCGACGGCTATTTTTGGAATTAATTCTTCAAGAGTATCGGTAAGCGATCACTTTTATTGATTTCTTTTTATTAAAAGTGATAACATAACATTTTATTTAGCAAAAGTTTGTTTTTTCCCTATCTATTCCTTATTAAAATCGTGAAATACACTTGCTGGGAATTTCAGATGCTCATGTATAATAACAAAACAGCGAATGATATAAATTCCTCAAAACATAACTCTGGCATAAAAAGAACATGAATACTTCTATAATATGTATAGTTTTATTTCTCTGCATTATCAAAATTTAATAAAATAGTGAATTAATACAATTTTAAAGTTTATTTAATCGGTGTGACATAATTTGCCGTGAGATTCACATCTGTATCTACCTCATCTGTGATCATGTCGAATCGATATTTTGTCACGTCAACAGCTTCAACTGGATTTAAGACTATTTTTCTCGCGTTTCCTTCGGTGAAAGTTTTTTAAACTTTGCACGTTTGCTAAGCATGACGATTCGCCAAACATATCAAAATTTCAAGAAATTTTATAAGACAGATTTTTTGTAGTCGTTATTCATGAATATCTCAAAACCGGCCTTATAAACATCCCTTCAAATTTTAATATGTCATTCCCCTTTCAACCATAAATCTTAAAAAAAAAATTCAGAAAAATTGACCGAAGGAAAAAAAAGATATTGCCGTTCCATTGTAAAATTAGACAATAAAAGTGCAAAAGATGAAACGTCATGGTTGCCATGGCAACACTAACACTGTTCCTATTTGTTCATATATCGACAGCAGAAGATTTCTGAACTTTCCTGGAAATGATTATATTGCCCTATCTTAAGTGTTTTCAATATAAATTTGGTTCAAAACGAAGGCTACCTAAAATACTTAAAATTTTAGAAAACTGTAGGGAGCCACCTTAAAAGCATATATATCTTTACCTATATTATGCATGAGTCAATTCCAGGAATAACCATCCCCCCGGGAACACACCCGGGCATTAGATTTGATTGGTTACGATAGTGTAAATGCCCGGGTGCCGGGACACAACTTGAAGACTAATGCACGGCCCTTGGGCGAGCTGAGAGTGGAAAATGCCCCACCCCGGGACGATTTTAAACGTAAAAAATATTATAAAACTTTAATATAAACTTGAATCTTGCTAAGAGTGGTTAAAAGTATTTAAACAATGAAATTATAAACCTTCAATAGTTGTACTTAAATTTGCACGGCACAGGTTATAATTTTCGCTTATTCTGACAATAAATTTTACGCCACCTTGACCACGAGGGCGCAGAATACGACCAGCGCGCCCACATGCGTGCCTGAAACTAGGTTTTGCTGCCTTAAAATTTGCGGGTGGGATTCTGGGCAACCATTTGTTAAATCCCCGGGGTCCTTAGCGACTATAACAATCCCGGCCCCCGTGCACGTACATGCATGAAAGGCAAATTCCCGACCCCCGTGAACTGTCTATCAGGCAAATTCCCGGGGAGGGGATGGTTACTCCAGGAATTGACTCATGCATAACCAGGGGCCGCGGAACCGGGGGGGCAATGGGGGCATGTGCCCCCCACTTTTCTTAAAAGTGAAAAAAGTGCCCTTTTTTCTGGGCTAAAATGCCCCATTTAAAAAACGAAAAAGTATTTCTTGAATAAACGTCCTCTTTTTCTGGAAAGAAAATGCCCTTTTCGCAGTAGTAAAGACTCTGTAAAGGCCATTTCCGACGTTAGAGAGACTCCATATTTTCAAAAATTTTCGTTCGGCTCGTGAACGTCATAAAATCGTTTGATTCTGGTCATATACAAAAGTGCCCCTTTCGGTCAATGCCCCTCCACTTTCGAAATGCTTCCGCGGCCTCTGTGCATAACGAAGCAAGACAGCATATACTTTCAGTCTATGTTTACTAATTACCCTTTTTTTTACTATATTAAATTGTTTAAATAAAAAAGAAAGCAAAGTTATTTGCATGCGAGAATTTGAAATCATTTTATTTCAAACTCAAAGTTTATCGATAAAGGCAGTTTAGTAGGTTTATATTAAATGTTTAAAAGAACACTTTAAAACGTTTTGCGAAGAGTTTGTGGTTGAATTTTACCTTAAATTGTAACCTGCGATCAGGCCTATAAATAAATAAATAGGCCTGATACAAATCTTAACAAAAGTCCATGTTTTTACAACCGTATTTCGGTCGTAAATCTGATTGGTTTATGAGACAAAAGATTTTTTAATCTGTCATTTGATTGGTTGGTGCTAATTACATTATATATTGTCGTTGATATATTTATAGTGATCACAACTATAATTAGATTGTTGTTGTCGTTGTGTGAAATTCAAATTTCTCCTGCGACATTTTGATTGGATACTAAACATAAACTTTGCTGTGGGTGGAAAACGATCGGATTAAGGATTGTGTCAGGCTATTATTTGTAAAATAGAGCCTGATCGCAGGTTACTTAAATCGAAGCTAATATTAGAGACCTTAAGATTGACGTTTACGGCAAACGTCAAACCGCTAGCGAAGTTTTTGATTTTACAACTCTATTATTATAGCTTTTACACCAGTTTTCAAATATGTTAAACTTATTAAACTTGTGCTCTTTAGCAATGATTTAAGAAAGCAAATTAACCACTAGTCATGCCATTCACCAAAGCAGTAAATTAAGATTTGGCGTTTGAAGTTGGCGTTTGGCGTATAAATTTCATGCTTTAACGACTACAAGTCCTCGTAGCAGTTCAAGCATGAAATTTATACGCCAAACGCCAACTTCAAACGCCAAATCTCAATTTACTGCTTTGGTGAATTGCATGACTAGTGGTTAATTTGCTTTCTTAAATCATTGCTAAAGAGCACAAGTTTAACAAGTTTAACATATTTCAAAACTGGTGTAAAAGCTATTATAATAGAGTTGTAAAATCAAAAACCTCGCTAGCGGTTTGACGTTTGCCGTAAACGTCAATCTTAAGGTCTCTATTACGTATAATAACATACCTAACATATATATGTTTGGGAAATTGATAATTTTGTAATTAAAAGTGATATTTTTAGGGGATTTTCATTTGTAAAAATATTCTTAAAAAATTATCGTGTTACCATGACAACTACTTTAAATACTTCATGTTCGGAAAATACAATGGTTTTGTCAGCAAGGCGAGGGTTTACGCATGTATGCATTTTCTAGTAATAACAATAATTTGGGAAGATGAAACCAGTACTCCACACACGGTGCATGAGAACAGTTGCGGAGAAGATCAGGGCAAAAGTAACCAATATAGAAGAATTAACAATCACTGAAGACAAGACGAGACAGTCAGAAAGAGGTAGAATTCGTCAGCTCCTGGAATTGATGGAATACAGGAATTTCTTGTGGGAAAAACTCAGAGGAACGTGGAAGGCACTTGTAAGACGTTTTAACGAATGGATTAAACAACCGGAGCGAATACCAGAGTGGATTACACATGGAAGGACAGTATTATTGCCAAATATAGAGGATTTAAGTGACGAAAGAGAATGTCGACCTATAACCTGCCTGAGTACATGTTATAAGATCTTCACTGGGAACGTAGGTTGCTATATGAAGGAGCTTGCAGAAAGAAACTACATCTGGGATAGAAGTCAAGTTGGGGCATGCTCTGGCGTATTGGGCACAGTCGACCAACTTATAGTGGACAACACAATTATGGACGAAGTGAGAGAGAAGAAGCGAAATCTTGGTGTAGCACTCTACGATTACCGTAAGGCGTACGATATGATCAGACATGAATGGATGCTACGAGTTTATCGATGGATGGGAGCGCCAGAAAAAGTGTTGAATGTACTAAGCCAACTGATGGAGGGGCGGAAAACAAGGTTGAGTGAGAATCAGCAGACGGATAAACATTCAGAAAGGGTTCTTACAAGGCGACAGTTAGTCTCCAGTGGGTTTTTGCCTGATGGAAGTACCAATTGCAATGATGCTGGAGGAGACAGATGGATACAAGATGGGACAACCAGGAGAAAGAGACCTAAAGAAAACATTCAAAACACACAGTCTATTCATCGATGTTCTAAAAGTATACCAGAAAAACCTTCAAATAGCGAGTTAAATTATAGTGAAGTTAAGCATGGATACTGGAGCATATTATGACTTGAAGAAATATGCAGAAGTCGTCTTTAAAGATGGCAAGATGGTGAAAGTAGAAGGAAAATGTCATACCATCGAAGCCATACGACAGTATTATGGGAAAGCCCGAGGCAATTATTAATTATTATCTGCACTGTTAACATGAGTTGTCTTCTAATAATAGCTGATAAACATTGACAGGCATCATTGTATTGTTGGTTATAATTCGAAAATAATAATAATAATTATCAATTATTGGACGAGGTTGAGCAAAATATCGTGATTTGTCGGTGCAGAGGCAAATAATTGATCTGCGAGCCACCAACAAATCACGATATTTTGCGAGAACCGAGTTCAATAATTGTTTTATCATTCTCTTATAAAGCTTCGTTTTATATTTCGTTATAAGACAAAACTTCGAAATTTCGCAATCCGAAAGTTCGTCATCTTCCGAAAGTTCAGCAAAGTGAGCGCCATTGTTTACAAAAATTGAAGGCAACGCGCATGCTCAGAGTATTATTTGTAGCTGGCAACGTTGTTAACAAATGTGCATGGTTAGACTTTTATTTGCACGCAGTTATTTGCAGGTAAATTAACCAATTAAAATCAAAGCAAATGGGAACGTCGAAAGAATAATCCAAACTATTGAAAAGGGTGCGAAGATAGCTAGAATTGAAGGAAAAGAACATTCGACAAGAGATTCAAACAACCGTCAGAAGTTATCGAGACACATCACATGTCAGTACGGGAGAAAGCCCTAATAAATTAATGTTTGGAAGGGAATTGAATGGTCGACTACCAGCCAAATTGTCGAAACAGACAGTACGAGAATCGGTTCAACGGAGGGATGCAGAGTTCAAACAGAAATGCAAGACGTATGCGAACAACCTGGAACAACAGAAGACGCACCAAAGCAAGTAATGTCGGAATTGGAGATAAAGTCTTGTAGAGCAACACAAAGTCGATGGTCTATATCCCAGATATAAGAACGCTGTTTTTAAGGGTTTGTAATCTGGTAGGAATTGAACCTACGGCCCTGCAATTCAGGTGCAGCGCTCTAACCAACTGAGCTACAGAGGCCAGGGTTATATCCCAGATATAACCCTAAGCCATTCGTGGTGTCGCAAAGAAGGGTTCAATGGTGACTGTCCAGAAGGGCGAGACAACGCTGTGCAGGAATACGGCTAAGTGCAAACCGTTGAAATATGAAGGCAATGAAGATAGTGGAGATGAATGGCAACCGTCATCAAAGAGACAGGTGCAAAATGATAGTAAAGAGACATCAGACGCTGAACGAAGAACGACAAACCAGGAGCAACGACCAACCAGGAACAGAGTATCTATCAAAGACACAAAATATAAAGATTTCCTTACGTCGCCTAGGTGCAAGGACTTCAAAAAGGATAATACATATGAAAACTGAATAAATATAGTAGGGGAGAGATGTAGTGTCGTAGTGTATTGGTGTAATTAGATACATATAAGCATATGCATAATTAAAAACACGCAGTCATGCATTGCGAACAATTAAAAAAGGGACCATATATATATATATATATATATATATATATATATATATATATATATATATATATATATATATATATATATATATATATATATATATATATATATAGTCTTCTTGATATAATATAGAGTGCTCAATACTTTATTGTAGAGCTAAATATATTTAATTATTTAAATAAAGTACAAAACAAACGTTGTTACTCAGAGTTTCATGCCTGAGTTTACAGACAATCTTCGGACAACTAAAGTTCTGTTGACAGAACTTTAGTTGTCCGAAGATTGTCTGTAAACTCAGGCATGAAACTCTGAGTAACAACGTTTGTTTTGTACTTTATTTAAATAATTAAATATATATATATATATATATATATATATATATATTGAAACAGTCTGCTGCATCTTTGAAGTAAGCTATCAGCGTATTTGTTTTGTAAACGTTTAAATAAATTGTTAGACTTAGTCACAAATAAAGATTCAATACTCTACATTGGAACTCAATTGGTACAACACTTGAAACTCGTAGGAGAATGCAAATTACAGCATGCAATTGCTATAAATTTTTCAATTTTATTTACTTGCCTGCAAATACAAGACAACTGCTGGCTAACTTATATAAGAATCAACCAGACTTATTGCAATGCTCACATTCTCACTCTGGTAAATGTTGGTTTGCCACCTAATTCTGTTGCAATTCTGATACTTTAAGTACGTTTACACACCGATTTGTCATGTACGATTCGTATTCTGGCTCTTCAATTTATGAAATTTGAAATGCAACCAATTTACGCGTTGCTTATTTGTATAGGTAATAGTATGGTTTCGAGTGCAATAGACCTTAATTACCGATTATTCTCTTTTACCCAATGGCCTCGTTTCCATGTTAACTTATTTTAGTATGTCAGGGACAGAAAAAGATTATTTCCTGGACGAATTTGTTTCTTGCTGTTCTTAGGCTCAATAACAAAGTAATTTTCAACCCTATACTAAGCACAAAACAGGAGTAAGTAATTGACATGAAAACGAGGCCATTGGGTAAAAGAGAATCGGTAAGGTCTATTTGGAAAAACATGCACGAGTGAGTTTTTCACAGACGATCAAAAAACTCACGAGTGTGTGTTTTTCCAAATTGCACGGGAAACCATGTGCAATTACTTATTAATGATATACACGAAAAACATTATGCAGTCACACATAATATAAATAATTTTAATAGAAAATTTACTAAAAACGCCAGCCATTTTTGTAAATGTTTGGGGTTTTTGTATTATTTTCTGCTAGAAATGTCTGTAACTTATAGTCAATGAAATTTGCACTGTATTTCATTTTTTGGAACTGTATATCGAAAAAATTGCGCTGCTCGTAGCCAATCAGAATTGAGAAATTTTTTCATGTATATTATTACATTACATATACGCCAGAATATGAATCGTAAACGTACCTTCACGTTGCGAAGTATATTGTCGAACACGTAGTTTTAAGTGCACTTATATAGTAGCCTCAATGGAAAGTTGCATTGAGGATCTTTTATGATCTGGGTTTGTCTTCTCATTTTGCCCTCATACAGTACTCTTTGTTGAAAATATTGTTCTTGTTTTCTTGTAGTGAAAACAGGAGCAACATTTGTATCACAGTTTTCCCATGAGGATCCTGTATGATCTGGGATTGTCTTCTCGTTTTGCCCTCGTATACAGTAATCTTTGTTTAAAATAATTGTTGTTCTTGTTTTCTTGTAGAGAAGACAGGGGCAACATTTGTATCACAGCTTACCCTTGATGACTACCACAAAGCTGAAGAGATCTTTACAAACGAGCTGACAAAATACACAAAGAAACAATTTTTTGAGGTACAGAACAATACTTATATATGTATTAGATTCAAGGAAAGATAACCATTTAAGGTTGTGTGAAATATAGTTTACGAATGACACCGTGTGTCGGAACATGTTGTTTGAATTGTATGATAGCATTGTTATCAAAACAATTATTACAAACTAAATTATTACAAACTACTGTAAGTGAATAGAGAGTTACGTACTGATTGCAACTTTAGGGAATTGCTGAACTTGCCAATGGTAGTGAGAAATCGAGGTATACATTCTTGGAAATTAGTGATCCTGCAACATTGTTAATTAAAGGTGAGTGTACTTAGTGTACAGGGCAAATCCTGCACTGGTCACTTGCTGTTTACCAGTTGCCCACACATTGCGAAATATTGGGGTAACAATTGCAGTTTCGGCCGCTAACATCCTTATACGAAAATTTCGTATGCCGTATTTCAAATGTGAATTAGAATTGGAACATTTAATATGTGAAATAATTTGTTGCGAATTTTCGTACATGGAATTTGAAAAGTTCATATGTGATTGTGAAAAAACATCGTCACATTCATATGTAAATTTATAATTTATAATCTATAAACATCTTCACATTCATATGTATTTTTATAATGAAATTTTATAATATTTCGACCATTTCGACGCTACGAATTTAAGTACAACATAATTTGTACTTTGTTACACCACCACCACCACCCCTCCAAAAAACCAATGTCCACTATGCTGACATGCACATCCTGCAGGTACAGTAAATGGCTATATATTCTCACTGCTCGCCTCCCCGCACAATACCTTTAACTGAAGGAATATTAAGACTGGGCTTAATAATTTTCAGCCAAAGGTAGGGTGCAGCGAAGCTAGCTTCGGAATTGTCACAGCGGTGGGGAGGTGGGTGGATCCCAAAACATTTCAACGCCGTCCTTCCTTTTCGGTGGAAAATGCTAAAAAATACCGATTTTGTGCTACTGTTATACTGTCTGATAATCACGTGGTATTTATGGATCACCAACTAATCATCTCATGTATAAATATTCATCTGATTATATGGTATTTTGAGGAAAAAGTCCCAGTGAGAATATGCCTACACTGTAAATTTAAAACAGTCAAAATGTTTCAAAAGATTCGTTCTGGAGTCAAGTTTGACTCTTTTGATTTTACAGTGAGTGTACGTACAGGTACAGTAGTGTAATTCTTTCACCTGCTATAAGTTGTTTTGTACAGTCATTTTTCTTTATTGAACTCCGCCTACACTGTAAGTGTTTATATAAAGAACCACTTTTTAACAAACTGTATTAACATGCTTTAGGTGAAGCAGAAGATGTGACGACTGGTGATATTAAAGAGCTAAAAAGACATCAAACAATGTAAGTTGCTTACTCGCCAGTGAAAATATTTATCCCCACACTCTAACTACAATATATAGTATTTTATACGCTATAGAGTAGTTTGCAAGTAAAACATTATTTTCCACAAAAAAAGACTAAAAATGTTTGCAGTATAATAAATCCCTAACATTTGAAACATTGTACAGTCCTGTATCAGTTTGATGAATAATGATTGCGTCTGCTGCATTTTTGTATCCTTAGCTATCCAGTAAGTGAAATCAAGAGGATCCAAGCACAAGCACAAAACCGTGGACTAAATGCCGCTATCGCGCATGCGCGAGAGAAACTATACCGCATTACAAACCGACCCTATACCTCGGATATCGGTACTTTACGGTAAGTGGTTTGTTTGAAATATCCTACAGATATTGAAGAATTAATGATTGAATGAGGTGGATTGTAATATTTAAATTCACACTCAAGAATTTGTTTTAAAATATCGTAATCATTATTGCAGTTTTATAGGCCACCAAACACCACATGTTTTCTTGGAGATTTCCTCATGTAGTAACACTCGGTCGAAAAGAGATGATCCTTACTGCATGGACCTATAGGGAGACAAATGTTTAGAACTGATATGTAGATAAAGTTAGTTTAGTTTGTGTTTAGTTTTCGATATTTTCCCTTCCTTTTACTATTAATATGGAAAATATACTGTAGTGTGGAATAGACGCTACCCGAACTTGCTTTACAGAGTTTACTAGGGATGTGCCGGATACTGGTATTCGATAACCGGTAAAAATATAAACTTCCGGCAGTATCTGGTACGATTTTGCTGGATATTTACCGGATGGTGCATTGGTACATGCAGAACCATGAAACCGGGAAAATGCTCTCTTTGGGGTTTTTTGGTCTGTTAAGAAATTGTAAAACAGGAACAATCATTGGGCATGCAGAAAATGATTTCGTCATGTAAATTATCTTCTGCTCTAGATTGCCCACCGATCCCTGTGCCACATATATTTCTGCTTATTAGTGAACATGAAGACATAAAGCACATAATAAAACAATTGACTATATTATGGGGGGAAATAGTGAAGTGTTTCCCAAGTACCACCACCTTAGACCTGTATCCGGTTATCTGGTATCTGGTTATCATTTTCACTGACCGGTATCTGCTAGACTACTATATCTTATACCACCCGGTATCCAGCACAACAGTATCCTGTACATCCCTAAAATTTACTGCATAATATTGTGAGACAATGTTACGAGATAATTGATGCTGGCAATTAGGCTTTGTGTCTCACATGCGTTTATGTGTTCAGGCAACTTCTACATGAAGTCCAACATGGTCTTATACAAACACGAGATCGTACCGCAGAATTAACATCTCGATATCTGTCACCACTTGTTCAAGAGCTGGGTAAACTGCAAGCGAATAAAATCCTGAGGGGAGATTACGATTTGAAAATTGCTCGTCAAGATTATTTCGTTTCAAAACAAGACAAGGTACCGTACGTCAGCCTATAGTAAGAGTAATTTATTTTTTATTTATTATTTATTCATTTAGCTTTGCCAACTAGGGCAGGGTCACCACAACAGCATGTGCCAATTACTATGGGCCCTTTTTACCTAGTCCACCCTGTCAACTTTCCCTGTGGGAGGAAACCGGAGTACCCGGTGAAAACCCACGACTTTCGGCAGAGCGTTGACTTTTACTTTTTTCACATGAGGACTGAGTTCGAGTCGCATTGAGAAAGTTCTCATTGAGAAAGTTCTCATTGAGGCTTGAACCTGCGGCCTTAGAGGTGAAAGGCAAGTGCGCTAACCACTTCGCCACCACTAACCACTTCGTGTTGGTTTGTCAATTGATGCTAGTTTAAATACATCAGTTTGACTAACGTTGTTTCCATCATTGCTACCCAATTCAGAACTTTAGATTACTCACATGCCTAGTTACTATTGTTCTAGTTTACAGAAACATAGAGTAGAGCAAACTTTAAAATAACTAAGTATTAGAGTTATGTATAAGAGTTATTCCCTCATGTAGATCATTCTAATGCTTAGTTACCTTTGTTCTGTTCTATGCTTCTGTAAACTAGAACAATAGTGACTAGCCATGTGAGTTATATGAAGTTGTGAATTGAGTATAAACAAACGTTAGCCAACTGACTTCGGTATCCCTGCTGACTTCTTCAGTGCGTTGCACGTGTAGAACAATACAGTCCTGAAATTTATATACTCTACAGTATACAGCATTTTGAAATGAGTGGAAACAACTCGGCTATTATTTCGTCTGACATCAAAATAATTGACTACTAACTACAATACGCGATATAAGGACAATTTAAGGCCATCTAAAGTGTCAAGGAATTGGGGAAAGCAAAGACTCGCTTATCAGGCCATAACAGACTACATTTAAGAGAAACTTTTTTAGCGATCTTTGAACTTTCCCTCGTATAATTTTTTAATATTTTTCATAGTGATGTAGTATATGCATGTCTTCCTTGTAAATTTGTTTATTTAGTTCAGGGCCTTTCTGAAAATCACTTTGTGAGAAAGCTTCCTGAAAATAAATATTAATTTGAAACAAACAAACAAACAAACAAACAAACAAACAAACAAACAAACAAACAAACACAAACAAACAAACAATTCCAATACTTTAGTAGCAGAACTTCTATACTAACCATAATTCTCTCTGAAACTTGCATGTACAAGTGAGTCTTTGGAAAAAGCATTACGGTATACCAAAGATAGACAAGACTCTTTAGAAGATTCTTAACATTTACAACACAATATGACTTTTTCCAGGTGATTAACCAACTGATGCTACAACGATCACGTTACGAATTTTTATCGATGCTTCTGGAGGTAGAAGGCCGCAAGCATCGTGACTCTCATCACTTGCTTGGCGCCGTTCGTACATTACTGGAAGGAGATGCTGCTTTGGTCGACAGACGACACGTATCCTTGCAAAAAATGTTCTTGTTTATCATGAAAATTTACGACTCTTAATGTGTCGGACGTAATCCACCTTTTACATTAGTACGGTACTATAATGGGGTTCATCGTGAAAATACCAGAAAAAATTAAACGTTTATAAAAAGCTGCTACTTAAACAGGAAACTTGATTATTGCCTGCTTGTTTGGGTGTACTTGCAATAACATGACTGTGCATTTTCAAAGTGAAATGTTTCAATTCCACAATAGTGCAGTATGTAGTATTTTGTTAGGACGTGCGTTACCGCTCAAATTATATATGAGCCTTGGGTACCAGTATGCATGAGAAAAGTGAAGCCATTACTCGTAAGCAAACACACATTCATGCAATACATGTTATTTCTATACCAGTTGGAGGGTTTACATTTAATTAATTCGCTAAAGTGATGCAACAAGTTTTTGTAGATCATGGGAGTCCTCGGTCACCTTGTGAACTGTGACTTTTCAGCTGCCGGTAGCAATCACTGCTACCAATACTGAATAGGTGAAAGAATAGTGAACGTCACTGCTACCAATACTGAATAGTTGAAAGAATAGGGAAAATCACTGCTACCAATATTGAATAGTTGAAGGAATAGGGAAAAAAACATTAGCAGACATTCCCGTACATGTAGGTAAGTTTTCCTTAATGTTGACGCAGGGCGTTATGTCAAATCCATTATTACGAGAAGATGGTAAAAAGCGTGAAACAATTGACGTACGAGATTCGTTGCTGACCCGTCTACATAAATTACTAGGTTAGTTTTAGACTTGTTGGATGGTTACACCAGTTGTGTGCAGTTTGCAAACTATTGCGTTGATGATGCAGGTTTAATGCAAGCACACAGTATTCCAGTCTGTCAGTTGAAAGCAAATTTGCTTCAATGCATGATGTTTTATAATTTGTGAGTCTGTCTTGAAATTTCACAAATTTCGGCCAAGAACGGTTTTCTCAACATGAATTTAATGAATCTTAAAACTTTAAGAAACCCACTAAAAATCCCTTTCAACACACTTTATACAGTTAAGAATGACGATTAACTAGTTTAATTCGTCCAAAAGACCTCTTCAAGGTTCGCCATATTGTTCTTATATATCATGGATCTTTTAGAGGAAACTAGTTAACCGCCATTCTTAACTTAAGTGTGTTGAAAGAGATTTTAGTGGGGTTTTTAAGTTTTTTAAAACGAAACGTGATCTTAAAAGATTCATTAAATTCATGACTTAGAATCTCCTTTTTCCAAATTGCTGCTCCAATTTTCTTTGCGTTTTGATTTAGATGAACCTGATAATTGGGCAAAAAGTCCATCATTATTTGTTACGTATGATGGCTTACAGAAGAAAGCTGAAGATTTAAAAAATGACGAGACAAATGCGAAAACTCAATTGTTAGCCATGGATCAATCTCAGAATGAAAGCATCGCCCATCTGTAAGTGCAGTAACTGTATACAAGGTTGTCGTTTCGAAGTGAACATTCAAAACGTTAAACATCGACCTCTTAGAGCAAAAATATGAATGCATGGAGGAACGTAGCATGGGGTATTGTATTTTCCACTTGTATCTTCCGCCCATTAACACCACCTCCCCCCCGCATTACAATGATAATGGATTAAGACTTGCACCAGATGGCAAAAGGCAGTGGGTGCATGAGAAAAGGGGGCCGATCTGAATTATTTTAGCCTGAATGGGGGCGAGCTCAAACCCAAAATATGCCAGGGGGGCAATACTTGAAGTGTTTTGATGAAACGATAGAACAAAGATGCACAGAAAATTGAAGAGTGCAAGTTAATGACCGGTCCCTAAGTGATACCCACTGACCCTGCGGCACTTCTGGTGGTGCCATTTCCTACCATAATTTCATGGATCTAGTTTCCTTGAAAAATAACATACTAAATGCGTCTGTTGTTTAGGGAGAAAAGTTTACGTGACTATGAAAAGATGGTTTACGGAAGTTCTGCTACGTCTAGTGGACTGCCACAACTACAAACACAAGTTAGTATTACGTGAAGTATTAACGTTATATTCGAATGAATTAGACGCGCAATACTTTCAGATTGCTGTCTGGCAGTTTTTTTGGGCTGCATGTATAACATTTGCCAATTCATATGGACATAATAGAACAAACTGATGTAGCGATTGATACACCGGGTGGAAAGCGTAATTTAAAAATGAAAATTAAAGCCCAGGAAATGACTTCCAGACAAGACAAGTCAACTCCTCTTGACCTTTTCTAATGCTTTGCTAGGTCTCTAATTACTAACCATTATTTCTTTAATTTACTAATACTATTGCTTTTAATGACAGGTTGTTTTTCATCCTTCCTCTTATTCGCTTATTTGAATACTGTAACCGTTTGAAACTATTTGTATATATATAATACACGCTTGTAAATAAGTTTAATTGCTCTGAATATGTTGTGAACAATACAACGAAACGTTAGCCAATAAATTTTATATTTTGTTATGTATTGTCTGAAAGTCATTTGCTGGGCTTAATTTTCATTTTTAAACTGATGTAGATTATTTGAAGTTTCTGTAGTTACACTTGAAGCCTCTAAGTGCAGCTGTTAAGAAACTTTTTGTGCAAATGATTGTATATAATACGGTGCATACATGAACTCTTTAATATTTCTGTTGTAGGCCTTATCTGATGGAATCAATCAATTGACTGAAGTGTTGACGACACTTGAAAATTCAATCATGGATGTTAAGAAAGATTGTGAATCAAAGAAAAGAGTAAGTAATACTTCACTTGTTTTGGAACACTGTATGCCTGGTATTAACTATGCACATGATAATTCAAGCGACATACTGTACGTGGCACCAGAAAGTAAAATGTTTATGTACACTATACGAAGTTTGTATTGCAAGGTTTATTCTGACGAGACTGTAAAGTGCAAGTTAATATACTGCGCATATTTAATTGCGGCTCTCAAACAAAGTTAGGCATCGCCTTTTAATTTGTCAGTTTGTTCGGAATCATAACACTGGTATTTATTCAAAAGTAATATGTCGTCGTGCTTGTAGTAGTAACGCACTTGTTTAAGCCGCCATGCTGATTTGCGCATGCTCCAGGGCACCGCACTGTAGTATTGTGTCTGGTTTCCTTGCATGCACTCTTCAATTTTCTGTGCTTCTCGAGCGAGGTTAAGTAAAATCCTATATTATGGTGTAATGCCCTTATACATTGTGTGAATTTAAAATAGTTCCATACTCGATTGATTGAAACAGAGTGGATCTCATTAAATTAGAATCTACTGTATGTTCCTCTTCAAATTTGAAGACGGGCGCTGCATGGAACTATTTTGTTTTAATATGATTTTTATCCACCATATAATTCATATTGATTGTGAAGTTATTATTTGTAAATTTTTGTACCAATAACAGCGACAGCGTTATTACTTCTTTCATTTTAGGTTCTTAGTGCTGATTCATTGAATTTAATGGAGCGAGAACTGTTTGTGCTTTTCTTCACTGATCCTCAGCGATTAAAGCGTACTATGTCAGACATTACAGCGAGAGTAGAAGCTCAGATAGTGTCCACAGATTGACAACATGAACTCAAGTAAGGTTGGTTATCTAGCATGTAAAACTGAAATAAGTATTCTAATACTGGCAACTTCCAACCAACTGGCATCAGTACAGTACAGTACTGCAGTACAGTACAGTACAGTACAGCACAGCACAGCACAGTACAGTACAGTACAGTACAGTACAGTACAGTACAGTACAGTACAGTACAGTACACAAACTTGTGCCTGAAAGTATTAACACAATTGAGCGGGAGGTGTACTTAGAGACTGAAAGTATTTACACAATTGAGCGGGAGAAACATCAACATGCATATGGTTAAGACATGCTGCGAGCATTAAGCCTGGTTTCCACTGGATCAATTCGTTCGTGCGAAGTGAAGCGGAAATGACGAGTGTTTGGGGATAGAAGTTAGAACGTAATAATACACATAATTTAAAATTTATACCTTTACTCGAGTTTCAGGTTGGGTAATCATCCTAGTGCCTAGTCATTATTTACATGAAACACGGATAACAACACTTTTTTGTAAAATAAAAATCATGATGGTAAAGAAGAGCCCTGGTTTAGAAAGTTGCCTAGTGGAGAATATATTAGACAAAATGTCAACAAACACAACAGCGAGCATTGTTCTCGAGGTTTGAATCAAATAAAAAATTGTTTTATTTAAAATCCGGAAATTATAATTTATAATCCCGAGAAAGGTGCGTTCGTTTTCCAACGAGGTACATTTGCTAAATATAAAATGTTGAATCTCTTACCATGAATCAATCTCCGTTGCTTATGTCTAAACTTCGTGCAATGGTTATGAAATATTAACAGAGTATGACAAGGGTTTTTCACGGTGAATTTACCAAGTACTCTTAAGATAAAAATTACGAATTTCTCAACTCCAACAATATCTTGACGAACCATCAAGGTATCTAGTACGTTGCTAGGCAACGGTTTAGCAAGGTTGAGGACAAATGCATCATGGGATCCAATATACTTTGCTTGTGCGGCACAGAAGTCCTTCACCTCGCAGTTTCTGATTGCTTTAGGTGTTTCGTGTCTTGTTAATGCATATATTGTGCCTTTTCTGAGAATATTAATATCGAGTTTCTGGAAACCGTTTCCAAGATAACAATCTGCATTCATAATGATGGTAGTTTTGTTGGGAAGAAATTCTGAGACGTAACGAAAAGCATCACCATAAAGCATTCTTCGATTCAAAGAATAATAATACTTTTTGTTACTCTGTGCAATCGAATTTTCTAAGAATTTGATGTCTTCATGACGCTCCAAAAGAAGATGGATCATGTCGACCTGCAACAAAAAGAGAATAACATTAGATATATTTAAAAATGACCATGACATTAGAAATGGCGGTATATTCAAACAGTGGAAAATTATAACCAAAACGAACATGAGCGCGGTGGGCTTAAATACAGTAATTGCGAAACTAAAGCTGTAGGCCACTGTCTAATTGCGTTGCCACAGATATTTTTGCAAATTAGTTAGTTTATGAGTTTTGAAATTGCAGATACTGAGATTTGCAGCGCTCAAGAAAGGGGATAGATACGTTACTCGACTGTTTGACAATGTCTATATTCTCCACACTACTTATTTTCTTTTATACCAACTAAACTTATAGGAGCAAACCTGTGGATGTTGAAGATTTAGTTTCAATGTTTCGATATATTCCTGCTGTCTTTGGTGTACTCGTCTGTCTTGAGAGCCATTTATTATCACTGGAAATTGTGTGACTATGTGGATTCTCTTTGATAAACCAGCTTGTGCATACTCCCCATGACCTTCGTAAATGAGTGTTTTATTATTAGAAAGAACAATTATCCCATATACATGAATGTACGTTATTCAAAATTGCACTCAACCAGCTCTTAAAGTGCTATTGTATACAGGGACAATGCAGTGACGACAGGTAGGTATGCACTTAGGACAGACGATGGTCAATAGGCCACTGATAGGATGCTATACTTGAACTGTCTGTGCCAGTGTATAGTGTCAATAACATTAACATTAACATTAACATTAACATTAACATTAACATTAACATTAACATTAACATTAACATTAACATTAACAGGCTTTCTTTGGTAGGGATCCAACTACCTGAAAAATATAAGGATTCTAATTGATATAAGGATTTTTTATTCATTGCTATAATCCTTATATTTTTCAGGCAGTTGCATCCCTACCAGAAAAAAACATTGATAGGGTATACAGCGCAATATCATATGTTTGTTCATTTCACAAGTACATGTATACGGGCAAATTTTATACCAAGGAAGCCACTTCTCCATGTGCTCCGTTCCTTCTGATTTGTGCGAACCCTAAACCCTTCAACAGCAGTATAACGAAAACTAAGTGTAAGATTTAAACGCCTTTATTCCATAGTTTTATTTATTTATTTATATATCGTCAAAAGAGAATGCTCACACAAGCGTGAGCATCGAGCAACAAAAACAAGAAATTAAAGCTCCCAATACTGATACCTCAGTTAGTTAACACTAATAAAATGTTTAACAATAAAGTTTGTTTTGACCGAAGTACCAAGCAAAAAAATGGGCTAAAAAAAAATTAGTCTGAGAGGAAGGTACTTCTGAACATTTGAAGGTGAGTACACCTAGTGAACACCTGACTAAAAGTTCTAAACCAATGGCGAGCGGCGCTTTGAAAGTTCAGAATGTCTAAAAGTCTCAAACGAGGTCTAAATATTAACTAAATGAAAAGTATCTCTAGAATTACTAGAAAGTCGAAAGACTGATTGATCTAGAGGGCCTTAATGGTCAGAACACCATGGTATGGTATAAAGTTTTGTACACTCTACCTTGACTATTTCTCTTATTCGGTACGTTTCTTGCCGTAATATGCAAACGGTGAATTAATAGTGTGATTATCGAACAACACACAATTGTTGCGGTAGAGATTTTTAAGATATGTTTCAGCTTTCGTGAGATTGCCAGATTTCTTCCACGTTGCGTTCTGAATGTAAGAAAAGAATCCAAATTTAAAGTTTTTCACAAACGGAACAAAATTGAAGGACATCATGGCCATGCCTACCTCTACACAATATATTCTGTACGTCAACGCACTAATCTCTTGAAGTACAGAATACAACATACATCCAGATTATTTGCGTACTGTATATGAACAGGCTTTGATATTCTTGAATATTCGTTGATTATGACAATATAAGACCAACTATATATGTACAATTCATCTATCTAAAGAATGAGTCATCATATACATCTTGATCGCTTTTGTCTTAGAATTCCAGTGAGAAAAGTGTTCATATTAGGTCAGGTACTTACCCGATCATTTAGTAGTTTTGTTTTGATGAACATAGTATCAACAACAACAACAGGTTGGCCAATAACGCTTCGTAGCGTTGTCTAATTACAACTGTTGTGTTCCAGTTCAATGGAGCGCTAGTGGCTGTAACAGGTGGATCAGCGAGCTTTCAGTAATCAAGCGTTTGTAGGAATATGCTTTAGTGTGCTCTCCTAATAAGAGATCATGCAGTGTTTGTTCTTTACGATTCTTATCCTGGCGTATGTAATCGAATAAACATGCGCAGAGAGATTTCGCCATATAAGCTAACTTAAGGTGGCTCAATACAGTTTTTTTTAAAATGGAAAATTCACGATTTAGATGCGTATTTTTGTACAATAATTACTTGTTGAAAAACAAAAAGTACCTTACTTACATAAAACAACATCTACAAAGTTTGGATTTTGCACATAAGTTATATGCGACTGCCGTTGCTATGGTAACAATGACGTTTCAAGATGGCGGATATTTTGGCTTTAAAGTAATTTAACTCGTAAACGAGATCGGTGACCCCCAAATTTTATTTATTTCTCTTTGTATAATCAATTATTTTGACAATTAAAAAAATTCTTTGGAGCCAAAAAAAATAATTATGAATAATCACACAGAATAAATAATCACACAAAATGATCACACGGCTCCACAGAATTTTTTTTTATTTGCCAACGCAAGTCAATATGCTAAGATAAACCATTTTATTAAATAAAATTTGGGGGTCACCGATGTCGTTTTCGAGTTAAATTACTTTAAAGCCAAAATATCCGCCATCTTGAAACGTCATTGTTTCCATAGCAACGACAGTTGCGTAACTTTTGTTCAATAACTCTTTGGATATTGTTTTATATAAGTAACTAAGGTACTTTTTGTTTATCAACAAGTAATTATTGTCCAAAAATACGCATCTAAATCGTGAATTTTCCATTTTTTAAAAACTGTATTGAGCCACCTTAAAAGAGGAATTATATCGTCAGCAGTATAATTATTATACACCAGAATGACAATCTTATACGACTAGTCATATCGTGTGGACAGGTTTCTAGAAACATATCTTCAGTCATTGTGTGTAACGATGAGCATGGTTGAAGGATCTAACTACCAGAATAATATAAAAACAACGTTTCGAGCAAAGCTCCTTCGTGCAGAAGTTACGGCTAGAAAGTGAGTGTGCATGTGCTGATGCCTGCAGCTGAATTACGAAGGACAAAGCTCAACGTATACCTGATCGAGACAAAGGCTTTCATTCCAAAGGTTCTTTGATTGGAACTTGGACACAGTTCCCATTAAGACCCTGTTATGCAATACCAGCGCGCAAAGCTCAAGGCTTAACCCTTGGCAAACCGCAGGAGTTTGTATCAGGTCAGATGTACCAGGTCGTATGTAAGCCTTAATTGTCGCGGGTCAGAAATAAAGCGTCACTTCAACTGTTGAATTTCCAGCATAGATTTCTAATTCCCCTTCCGAAAAAATGGAAACAGTCGCAGCTAGTGATGCGAGTGAAGTAGTGTTGGAACAAGGATATTCGTGTTGTAGGAATATAGAAAGATAGATGTGAAAGTGAATGGTCAGATGAAAAAGTTTAACGGGGATATTGTTGAAGGTGACGGTGAAGTCGTGTTTACTCAATCTGAAAGATGTTTTCTTATACATGTGTGCCGAATTTCAGTGACAACTGTTAGTCTTGCCAGAACGTTTCTCGGTTGAAGATTGTAATCGGCCATGCGCACGATGATCCGTAACGATTAAATCGGCGGCATGGTATGCCATCGATCATCTAAATCTTTGACTTTGACTTACTGGCTTGTGTTATTTGGTGTCGGTAGTTAACCCTGTTTGAGTCCTACTTTTCTGAAAATTGGGAATCAGTTCACATGACGGGTACTTTACCTACGCAACGGCCAAAATGCATCAACTTTTCCTAACAAATGAACATGGAAACGTGACATGGATTAGTGCCTTCTCAATCATATCTTGGTCCCGATCTAAGCGATGGTCAAAGAACATAGGGTGCACAGTTCGTCTTCCAATTGCTTCAATTATTCGCCAACGAGTTGGGCAACATGGTTCGCAATGAGGAAGGTAGACTTGCTCCAAGTCTCTCTTTTTGGAGACCCACTATTTTGTACATCTATATATTGTACATCTATATTGTACGTTACATGACGTACCGCTGAGGGGGAGAGGAAGAAAGAGAGACTTGTAACATCTGGCAGCAGACATACTTCCGGCTGGTCAATTTCGACCAGCCGGAAGTAGATGGCCGCATTGACTTATCACGTGTTTAGGGGGGGAAGGCGACATCTGGACTTTCAGAGTTATATTTGTTTAACATAAGTAATTTTGTATTCACGAGATTTCTTGTAGATTTCACATCACTTTTGACTGCGTGCATTTGGAATTTTGGGCATTATTTTTGCAATTTATTGTAAACAACGATTATAAGAAGAACGGATAAATTACAAATCAGCCGTAATCGTCATAAACCTCGATGACCACCGGCAGTGTTTTTGTGTTTGACAATTTGTATTTCTTTTTAAAAATGTTGGAAGCGAAACCAGGATTCATAATTAATTGTGTAAACGTTCTCTGGTTAAAAAAGATTTATTTATTAACAAGCTTTCGACTGCCAGTCTGCAGTCTTCGACGGGTAGATTTATAATGTGCTAGTGATATAAGATATGATACAGAGTGAATAGTGCTATACAAGAGCGGTTTACAATTACATTTACTGACAAAAGACAATTAGGCCTACTGACAGTTCCGCCTGCGTAAATATATTGTGTAGAATTTAAAGTTTTTTGAGCAAAAAGCGATATTGTTCTGGCAAATGTTTTGAGTTGTTATCAGCGTCTTTCATGCATGCAGTGTGCCAAGACTCTAACGTCGATCTGTGTCGATAGCTTCCCTTGTCAATTATTTTTCCGTTCTTAAAATCAATTCTGTGGTCGTTTGCCCACGCATGATTCGCGATATTAGAGCCACTCTTGCATTTTTTCACGTTTCGTTCGTGCTCTTTTTTTCTTGTTATAAAGGCCCTGCCTGTCTCGCCAACGTAACTCCACGAGCAATCTGAACAGTTAATTTGATAGACGACGTTCGTCTGGTTCTCAGGTAGTGGTCGGTCTTTTGTTGAGGGAAACATTTGTTCTAGAGTGCGGAGAGGTTTCGTAGTTACTCGGATATCGTGAGGTTTCATAATGTGTCTAAGAGGTTCTGTTAGTCCTTTGATGTATGGAAGGACGGCGTAACTGCGATTGGTCTTCGGTTCTACTAATTCAAAAAACGATCTTACAAGTTCTTCGGGTGGCGGCGTTCTGTTTTCAAACATGACACGTTTCTGTTCAACTTGTTGCAAAAATTTCTTAGGATAACCGTTTGACATTAATGTGTGGGTTACATGTTTGCGTTCTTGTTGTTTGCCTTCCTCTGTGTTTGGTAAAAAAAATTTTGGTAAAAATAATTGACAAGGGAAGCTATCGACACAGATCGACGTTAGAGTCTTGGCACACTGCATGCATGAAAGACGCTGATAACAACTCAAAACATTTGCCAGAACAATATCGCTTTTTGCTCAAAAAACGTTAAATTCTACACAATATATTTACGCAGGCGGAACTGTCAGTAATTGTCTTTTGTCAGTAAATGTAATTGTAAACCGCTCTTGTATAGCACTATTCACTCTGTATCATATCTTATATCACTAGCACATTATAAATCTACCCGTCGAAGACTGCAGACTGGCAGTCGAAAGCTTGTTAATAAATAAATCTTTTTTAACCAGAGAACGTTTACACAATTAATTTGTATTTCATTAGATATTTATATGCAAGGTCAGTATAAACGGGTTATGATATAAAATGATCATTCTAATGAATGAATTGATAAAACGAATTATTTTTTAATATGTACGGCCGCGTTTTTTACACGGCCACTATACTGAAACGTTTAGCTTGATTGTTGAATAAATCGATGACTTGCTTAGTTGCTTTCTGTTTTGAGCTTAACCACCGTTTAAGCTAAACGGGCTTGATACAACTGGCCCCAGACTCGGCCCCAGATAAACATTTTTGTATTATCGAGATCGAAACTATAGTAAATTGGAAACCATGTCAATAATAAAAAACGTACAATGAACTTATGAACATGCGAAAATTGTCACGCCCAAACTATTACAAATTTTTAACAAAATAAACATTTGTATAAATTTTGGGCGTGACAATTTTTGCATGTTCATAAGTTCATTGTACGTTTTTTATTATTGACACGGTTTCCAATTTACTCGATAATACAAAAACGATCTCGATAATACAAAAATGTTTATCTGGGGCCGAGTTTGGGGCCAGTTGTATCAAGCCCGTTTAGCTTAAACGGTGGTTAAGCTCAAAACAGAAAGCAACTAAGCAAGTCATCGATTTATTCAACAATCAAGCTAAACGTTTCGTTTCGTGTAAAAAACGCGGCCGTACATGTTAGAAATAATTCGTTTTATCAATTCATTCATTAGAATGATCATTTTATATGATAACCCGTAAATACTGACCTTGCATATAAATATCTAATGAAATACAAATTGTCAAACACAAAAACACTGGTGGTCATCGAGGTTTATGACGATTACGGCTGATTTGTAATTTATCCGTTCTTCTTATAATCGTTGTTTACAATAAATTGCAAAAATAATGCCCAAAATTCCAAATGCACGCAGTCAAAAGTGATGTGAAATCTACAAGAAATCTCGTGAATACAAAATTACTTATGTTAAACAAATAACTCTGAAAGTCCAGATGTCGCCTTCCCCCCCTAAACACGTGATAAGTCAATGCGGCCATCTACTTCCGGCTGGTCGAAATTGACCAGCCGGAAGTATGTCTGCTGCCAGATGTTACAAGTCTCTCTTTCCTCCTCTCCCCCTCAGCGGTACGTCATGTAACGTACAATATAGATGTACAATATATAGATGTACAATATAGTGGGTCTCCACAAAGAGAGACTTGGAGCAAGTCTATGAGGAAGGTCGTCCAATATTGTTTGACGTCAGCAACAGGGGTTCTGATGGAAGGGGATGAGATACGTTACATTGGTGGATGGGCCGCACGAAAGCTTCTCCAAAGATCACAAAGGTAATTTCAACAAACGTTAACTTTCTTTAATTGGATAAATACAAAAAGTATTCTGCTAACGTTGAAAGAATTCAATTATTAGCTATTCACCAGACAGTGATTTCTCCAAAAACAAATTAAAGTTTCTAAAATTGGTCTTTGGATCTTTGGTTGGTATAACTTGCCCTGCTTGCAGTGGTTTTTGGCTGAGAACTGAAGAGATGTAACACATGCAGTTTAAAGTTTAGCATTATCATTTATAACAGTGTATCAGCATGAGAATAACGCGTCTACAGTAAATGATTGTTACTGACCTGATCAGTTCAAATATAATAAAGTAGCTTAAATTTGTATTCTAATCTTAGAGGCTCTACCATAGTATTAAGCACTTTTATTCATGATATATGATTCAAAACTCGATACTTATATCTAATATATATTCTTTTTTCAGGTATTTGTCAGACAAACTCTCCCAAAGCTCGCATGTTAAAAAAATATACAAAACAACGAACTGAAGAAAATTGAGCTTTTGCAGGATAATATCGTCGTCCCTTACGAACACCTGCAACGGAAATCCTTTAGCTAGATGCCACGATAGTCTTCTCCTTATCAGTGATGCTGCCTTGTAGAAATTATACGCTGGTACCAAACGGATTTCGTTAACGTTGCATGTGCTGAAGGAAGTCTAGCTCGGATCTCGAGATTTTCCAACGCCTGCGGTAAGCCATAATTGAATGTGGAACCTCTTTCATTTTGGAATAAGTGTTACTTATTATACCTAACTTTGGTAATTAGAGCATCATTCAAGAATATTCAGTATTCAACAGAATTTATGTAGCATTAACACATTAACACAAGTCAATATTATTGTTAACCTATTTTTATGAATTCTCAAAATGACAGATCATGCAGGCATACCTCGCTCTAATTTAACCGCTTTAAAAAAGCTTCCAAAGTAAGCTTTCATCTTGTATCGCATGTGCATTTATCAAAGAAATGACTTTATAGTAACACAGCTTTGACTGAATTATATTCAAATAGTTAATATTATTATAAAGATAACAGACTGGCTTAGCTTATTTTATCCATCCCTTCACTGTAGAAACTGATCTTGGAAATATACAAGAAAGTAACAACACACTTCTTCAAATTGGCTATACTGGTCAGTTCTGCGTGATTTCAGGAGGGATTATCATATATTAATCTCTCGTCACAGAAAATCATCAATGGTAAGAAAAGAAAGTACGTAAGAGGCAAATGAAACGTGTTTTTTAAACAATTTTAAAGTTAAATACCCGTAGATGTCAGTCATTCCCGAGACCCTAGATTTCACAATTTCCTCTGGATCCCCTAAATTAAATGCGGATTGAAAATATTTGAACGTGCATGACTACAGGATATAATCCAGCCCGTGTCCGTCGTGAGGTTGTTATGCTTTACAATATATTACACTTTATGTATATTATCGCAGCTAGGATTTATATTCTCAGTTGGGCTTTGGAGGCCCCTTTTGAGCTGGGGACCCGGGGCAAAGCCCAAGACCAAATGCTTTTCAATATATGCGATTGTTATATAGTTAGTGTCAAAGTTTAATTTTTCTGTTTGCCGATTGGTCAAAACTGTGCAACAACTGCGGTCTCGGGTGTTTCTCTCAGTAAATAAGTGATAATTGTATGGTCTCAGTAAATAAGTGATAATTGTATACTGAACATGCATGTTTTGTATAGTATATTCCTAACACGTGTATGTGTCATTAAGATATAGGCCTAGAATCGCAAAAACATCCTGCAAGCACTTAAGACATGGCGAAAGAAAAAAATGCCCTCTCCAAATCTAATGGCCTTGACAGCACAACGACAAAAATTATTTGATGGACATGTTTTGTGCAATTCATGAATACTGTCAAAGATCAAATGTTTGGTTGTGGCCTTTCGAAAAAAATTACCAGTCATGAGCGACTATTCTTTTGATACAACAAACGCACATTGTACCCTATATGAACATGGATGACATCAAAAATATGCAAGCACGTATATACACAAAAATGCGACTAATCAATTGATCTAATTATTATTGATCTGATAGATAATTTTGACTAAATGAAGTTCAACCCTATATTAACAAGTCTATATGTATAATACAATTATTTTTCTGAATCATTGATTTTCTCTCCTCGCAACCTTTTATACGATCTTTCTGTCCTCGTGCCCAAATACAGTGGTAACCTATGAAGTGGTTCCATTCTTGTTAATTTACTTCGTCTGGACGTCTTCCGAGATTTCCTTAATATCCTCTTCCGGTAACTTGATGATAATGAAGTTAATTTGTGCAGTCTATCATTCCGCGGCCGACACGCAGCAGGCGTACTTTGAAACACGACCGTGCTCGATTGAAGTCGAACTGGTGATGGAGGGAAATGAAACGTTTCTGGTATAGACCATGACGTCACAGGTTCCGCGGAATCTGATTGGCTGAGTACCGGAGAATGAACTAAACGATAGAACTCTTGATTCACTGGTGTTTGAAGTGATTCTCTTTCAGAACTTGAATCCGACGGTTGTGGACTGGAGTGACTTACAGGAAGATTTTCCATTGTAGTGTTAAACACTTTAGGAAATAATTCTAGCGTTTCGTCTTCCCCAAATTCAAGATGTCGTTTTCTGTTATTGCTATAAAAAGAAATTATAATTTGAAAGTATTGAAATTTGATAATATTTTTATATGTTGGAGGTTCTTGACACAAACGCAAACGCAAACACAAAAAAAAACACACTCATTATATCAGGGATAACGTTAGGATTGTGATTGGGGGTCAAGATCCAAGAGAAATGTATTCGTGCGCGAAACGTGATGATATTATTGATGTGGTCACGAAAATAGTTCGTGTTCATTAATTGGAAAATCACATTCCACTCCCCGTTGGCTCAATTGGCGGAGCGGGCGGTCTAGAAGATTGGAATTTAAATGCCACTGGAGATAACTGCAGATAAATAATTTGTTTCTCTCTGAACTTTGAGAGTTTGTATGAATAAACGTTAAAGTTCCACCACCACTCTTTGTCTTATATGAAAGAACTTTCAAAGTGATAGAGGAACTCGTTTAAAGATTTCCGTTTCTTCACCTTCTCTTTGAGGTATTTGTTTTCGTTTGATAAGCGTATGTACCTCACACAAGCATAATGACTTATCAGAGAATATTAGTAATTGTTAAATATTATGTCAATCAAATAAACCTCTCGATTTTAAAGAAGTACATTTGAAAGTGAACAGGATTCACAAACGTTTCACTTAAGTGACAGTTTTGTTAACAATATTATAGGCCTGCCATTCAGACAACTATTTTAAAAAGGGCCATAAACAATTTACTTAAGTTTATCAATGAAAAATTTATAATAATCATATCGATTGCTACTACAGTATGTGAAATTTGCATGTTTCCGTATATCAAACATCTGAAGTGAAGAAAGAGAAATCTTCAAATTCTTACAGGTATCTTACCATTAGTACTCTACTTCTATAACAAAAATTATAAAAATTTGAGATTAGTAGCACTTTAATGATACTACCTACTTTGACGATTCCGGTTTGCCTGGAGATGAGTATTCATCACTGTCAGGATACTCGTATTTCTGTATGATTAGAAAGGGATCCCATTGCAATGATTCATGTCGACCTCGTATTAGTCCTTGATATAGCCCAGTATGTACAGCATGACTCAACCTATGCCAAAGTACCTGCGGATGTCTTTGTTTGGCCTAATGGCAGAAAGATTAGGGTCTGGTTTACTGGACAGTGGTAGATTTTGCTTTGTGATCGTATCAAGGTGGTTGACATCAGATGTCAATATATTCTTGAACCCAGCGAAGGTGTAGCAGTATACACCCTTTTCATAAATGGCTGCCGATTAAAAATTCTTTTATGTGCATATAAATTAGCCCAACTAGCCTCGTACTCATGTTAAGATTTCAAAGGAATTTCTACTCAGAAACGAGGCTAGTTGGGCCAATTTATATGCACATAAAAGAATTTTTAATCGGCAGCCATTTATGAAAAGGGTGTATACGAGCAACAGAATTGATGCAAAGTTCTTGCAATGAAAATTCAACGCATGTTAGTCAGAAATGTTTACGAAGGTTGTCTAATATTTTATGACGTACACGTGAACATTTCTTATTAGAATGCATTCAAACCGGTTTATGTTCCACGAATTCCTTTCTAGGTCTCAGTGGTGTTACGGGGAAGAGATGGGGCTAGTATATTTCCAGAAAACTCCAAAATTAGTAGCCTGTGTACAGCCGTTACTCTCGACGAAGCGCGCGAGAGAACGTCTGTGAGTTGGATGCATAATCCTTGTTCAGGTCACGTGGATAGTTCCCAGATTTGGGGACCGGCCTCTGATTGGACAGTGCTTTATTTGAATAATTTATGACAAATGAAGCTATTTCATTGGTTAATTGATAATTAGCATGCATTTAAAATAACACAAAAATTTTAAAATTCCAGATCAAGAAGACAAGAATCGAGATTTCCTTCGGGGCATACAAAAGTTTGAAAGACTTGAAATACAATCTGAAAAACGATACACCTGAAATATATTGCATATATTTCTCGATGAAGAGATTTGTTTTGATTGCGAACAATGCTGAACGATGATCATTGCCGGCAAGTCCGGTGTACAAGCTCATCTTGGCGTACATATATATGGCGTATATTTGTTTACAAAGACAAAGTATTAAATATAAACACAACTAGTTATTCAAAAGGTGCATTTTAAAGTAATTGAAAGTTTACTGGCCAAGTAAGACGAAGTTAAACACACTACATGTAAAGAAAATGCTTTATCGCGAGGGGTCGGGACATATAAACAGATTTTCAATTTATTAAATTGTCAATTTCCGTCCGATAGTTTGTTGTATTTTATATATTTGTCAGCATTGTGCGCTGAGTGTCCAAACACTAGAATTTTATCTTGATTTTCTTAAACTTCGATACAGCACAAAATTAAACTCAACATATTATATTTCAAGTCTTTTAAACCTTTGTATGCCCCGAAGGAAATCTTGATTCTCAAGCTTGATTCTTGATCTGGAATTTTAGAATTTTTGTGTTGTTATTTTAAACGCATGCTAATTATCAATTAACCAATGAAATAGCTTCATTTGTCATAAATTATTCAAATAAGCACTGTCCAATCAGAGGCCGGTCCCCAAATCTTCAGAGGCCGGTCCCCAAATCTGGGAACTATCCACGTGACCTGAACAAGGATTATGCATCCAACTCACAGACGTTCTCTCGCGCGCTTCGTCGAGAGTAACGGCTGTACACAGGCTACAAAATTAGAAGTTAGAAAAATATTTAAATGACATTTTAATACTTTTATACTTTAAGCCACAGCTCATCATATCAAAAGACAGCAATTGGATTACCTTTGAATCCTTCCTTACCCGTCGTAATACTTGACCATCTTCAGGCCGACCTGTAGTAAAGTGCCTCGGTTTACTAGTATCGACCTATCAAGATAACGGTGAATAATTAATATCAGTGGGTCCCCTATAACCTTTCGTGCGCAGCGTGGTCGATGAGTGAACGTTAGAGCCCGTATAGAAGTACATATTGAATGTTTGCCGCTCTTGATGAAACCGCACCTTACGGCTATATCTGGTGAATACAGTCACCTCTTTATTATGGCCACCTATTTTGTCCACGCAAGACGTCATGACAATGCATTTACTTAAAAAGACAACTCGCTGATATGGCACACTGTTAACACGCGACAAATTTATGGTTAAACTGTCTGTACCAGTATAGGTAGTACCAATGTGAAAATGCTGTGCTGAGTGGTTATATTACTACCTTAAAAAATAAGCAGAAACTCGACGTTTCGAGCGAAGGCCCTTCGTCAAGAGTAAGTAGCCAACTCTTGACGAAGGGCCTTCGCTCGAAACGTCGAGTTTCTGCTTATTTTTTAAGGTAGTAATATAACCACTCAGCACGACAACTTTATGCCCCATTCTTCACTGTTCCATTATATAAACACACAAGAAATGAGCAGTGCAACATTAAAGACCTGTGTGTGTGCCATTAGCTACTTTACTTTCAATTTATCTCTAATGTTGTCCATACCATACCTGAGTGTTCTTCCACGGGGAAATATTCCTTTTAAAGAAAGTCTCACGACATATATCCACTCCCAGTTCTGCCAGAGGGACTGTCACATAACCTACATCATACTTTCTCGAGAAGCGATCAAACCGACTGATCTCAAAACGTATTGTATATGAAGCAAATTGACTCGGAGATAGAGGAAATTTATAAGTTCTTTGATAGTTTGTGCTAATAGTGCTTTCTTTGTTTCCCGTTTTATGACCCGTCCTGTGGGAAATAATCTGAACACTGACGAAGGCTTTTGTCTCGTCTTTGGTAACCAGTGGTAGATTTTCCCCTTTGATGAGTTTTATGGTAATGATAGAGCTGCAAATAATACAATGAAAGTCAGCGTTCTTGGGTATTACTCATAAGCCGTATGCCAGGCACATTAAAAGCAACAAAATTTATGTTTGCTTAATTTGAAAGATGTTGAGATTATTTACAAATCCTTTTTACAAGCATAATTTTTTAGATATTTCGAACCAAAACATTCTGCCGTCCGCCATCTTGTTTTATAAAGATCGAATCGACTGACGTCACAACCGGTAGAGGTTTTATAGCTAAAAAAATATCAGTGGTAAACTTCCACAGCTAGCTCCACATCAGCTTCCTGGTTGTCTGACAATGGATACAGTATGCATATCGAACTAATCGAAGATGCATGGCGGAATGCATAATCAATTTGTTTGAAATATTAAACAGAAATATCTTTTATAGAAAAATGATAAAGGGAATCTGTAATAAGGTTTTGAAATAATTATATAGTGAATCTCTCTTCCAAATGGAGAAACCTTAATTTATATTGCTATCTTTAACAATGATTGAAATGACCATCACTGTATTGTATAATGCAAATCAATATCACAAAACCATGTATGTGTCCACGTAAAGGTCAACATTACATACTAGCACCAAAATGATTTAAATTTTGACAAATTTGGAAATCGTTAAAATGCTTAAAAACCATTAAAAACTATCTTTTTAACAACAGTTTATAAATGTTCTTCGTTAGGTATAACTGAGTTCATGCCAAGATCAAGGGTAAGAGGTTCCATAGCCGCCAATGGTTAGGAATTATGGTAGGTTGTGCACGGGGTTAGGCCGTTAGCATAGGGTAAGGGATGAGTTTTAAAAAAATACAGGCACAGCTGTGCAGGTTATATCACAGAATAGGGAAGTATTTTAATAATCCCAGCGACTATATGCTCAATAGAGTGTCTTGATTTAATCGCTTTCTTTAAAAAGTGTGATAAAAAATTATTCAGCAAGTCATTGTGCAATGATGTAGTACATCATAATGTTTGATTGATGGTCATTTGCATATTGCACTTTATTAAATACCTATATACCGCACATAGCTACAATCATTGACATAATTAATTGTAACGATGCCATGCAAGAGAAGAAATCCTAAGTGAAACGAGAAAACAGGAGCATATTAATATTGATTTTCTTCTATTCGCATCTCCCCTAACAATGTTGATTTGTTGCCTCCGCAGGCATCTCACCCAGGGAATCGGATGAGGAATTGATGAGATTTTTTTGAACACCTATTCGCAGGCAAAAACCAACTTGTACACGTATCACTGACTGTAGCTCAGCAGGTTGACAAAATGCAGAATCTGTATTATGAAATATTACAATGCAATCATGAAAAATGTTGTGAAATCATATAAGTACTTTAATCTCACTCACTTTTTCTCATCATATTTGAGAGAAAAATAAAGCCGTCCAGCTTCCGTTCTGTCGTCCAGGAGTGGATGATCTGTACTATCACTATTTTCTAGATTATGATCGTTTACCTAAATAAAAATGCGAATTTATTTTATATTTTTGTAGTTGTCAGCTGGTATTGCTTTTGTTTATATATTATATAGTTCTAACTTTTTTAGGAAAATTCATACCTGTTTGACATCTCTTTCAAGTGGAACAGGTTCTGCGTTGGTATGAGGTAGGACAATATAGTCTCTATTCCTCGATTTATTTGTGTTACGGGCAATATTTCTCCATTTGTACAAGATAAGGCCGCCAACCATTAGGAGAATAAATAATACTAAGAGACTGCATTCCAGTGATAAAATAAGTTCAGTGGTACTCATTGGCCATCTAGAAAACAAAAATAATCATATATTGCAACGTTATTATCGTTCTTGATTGGCCAACAACCACAGCTAATTCCACATAGCTGTCACATTAGACAGATTTAGATCGCGGACGTCAAAGACGACGCGAAAATGGCTACCTCCTACGCAATCCCTTTTCCGGGCACATTTGCGGGCGGTGCAAATTTGCTGTAACCCGCATTTTCCGAACCTGCCCGAAATGCTCCCTAAGCGCCTGCGGTGGAGGTAGCGAAAATGGTGTGTTGTGCCCATGTACGTATATGACACGCCATTCTCACGCCATTTTCACGTCGTCTTTGACGTCCGCGTCCTCGATCTATAAAATATGTCTATTATTTCAGTTACGACGTATCAACAATTCAACATGCAATTATAGTTGTCTTCTGGAGCCCAAGCCTCCAGTGCGGTGGGAGCTTGTATAAAAAGGCCGCGATATTTTAAAACCTGAAACGAAATGGTTGTAGTAGACTTGCCTCTTTAAACGAAACGATACTGTCCAAATTCAATGATTATCAGAGAAAAATCAGCACCATAAAAGCCACGAAACAATAGTAAACTATCTTCGACGAGAATTTATTAGAATTCTCGTATTTTTCATCTTTCCTTCCACAAACCGAAGTTTTACATTGTACAGTATAATCGCCATGCAAAACAACTTAGAATTACATATGAGGATGTTATTAAAGGCAAGCGCGAACTAGCCTCCCGTACGTGTTTGACCTCACATCACCTCTAACCTTATTCATTGTTCTCCATGTATATCAACATGCGTCAGCACCAAAACAAAATAGCTGGACCCCAGCATGTTCCCTTTATCAAACAAATTTTTATCGCAACACTGTCTGTATTACGTCTTAAAACGTAAGCGCACACTAATACAAGGTCAGGTCTACCAAATTGGAATATTTATTATCATTATATTTATTATCATCATACGCGCGCAAGTCTGAAATGCCCGCCAGATTTGCCCGGCGGCGCGACTGTGAAACGCAGAATATTTAGCGAGACATTATCGGTTGGACTCTCGGTTAGACCTGGTGGTTTGTGCAATTCCGCTTTTGTTGATCTATTTATTACTGTGTTAGAAATGGACAATTACAGTCGCCTATATACTGCTAATGTAAACAGTGCAACGCGTAACATTATCAAGTGTACGTCATATAGAAACAGAATAGTCTGGTTTTACACGCGAATTATAAATTTGACCCGGAGCACCAGACGCTATTATTCAGAGTATGTTTCACATTGCATTTACTAAAATTTAGCCGGCAAATTTCTTCATGTGTCTTAAAAACAATTTTACAGTTATCATAATCACTCGATCAGTCATGACTGGGTTATGTTTACTGTAAAGTATGTGCAATCACGCTGCAGAATTCACGATATAAAATGATATACTTTACCTGCGAAGTGATTATTAAATCGTTCCGTTATGCCATCTTATTTTTGATTCGTTGACCGACTATTCTTTTGAGGACTATGTTTAATTTTATCCTCCGTTTTAACTGTGGTTTCATTCATGTATCGTTGACAGCATATTTTGGTGCGTATATTCCCCTTATAGTAATACTACACCGGATCTATTAGTGTTATCTTCAGTGTCGATTGCACCAAATTAAAGGGCAAAGGCTTTTGTTTTTCCGCTCTGATCTTTCGTGGGTGTATTGGGGGCGGAACACACTCTCCTCGCCCGAAACCACAGAAAATTTAAAAGTCTCAAAGAAAACGACAAAAATTACGGCATTAATAAACACGCATTGCGCCGGATTTCGCCAGATTTTTAACTTTCTGAAGCATACATACATACAAACAAAACTTTATTTAAACCACGCTAGCCTCAGCCGTTGCAAGGCTGGTTTCCATGAGGGGCGTGAAATTACCTATTTACAAGAAATACAAAAATATAACAACAAAAAATTACAAGTGATTTTAGCTGCACGATTACACACAAGCAAATTTCAACTAATTCTTTGTTTTAATATCGATTTGATTTTCGGCAATTTTTGCGTCATAGGGAAAATCATAGTATTCCAATGCAAGGCACCATTATAACTGAATCACCTCTTGCCGAATTCTTTTTTCGGCATAGGTGGTGCTAAATCAGTTATTTCTAAGTTTGTATGTATTATGTCTTTCATTATTAAATTGAAATGAAAAGCCGAACGATAATTGTCCAGTAAATTCCCGGGACCTTTTTTGTGTAAAGGAGTGACTTTCGCAATCTTCCAATCTAGCGGAAATTTCCCAGTTTCAATAGAACAATTAAATATCTTGGTTATCGAGTTTGTAATAACTCATGAGGCTGCTAATATAACTGAACTTTAGCCGGTGACAGGACTTTCGTCCCCCCCCCCCAGGAGATTCGCCCCCCTCTCAAAAGGGGAGCGATATTCCTAGGAATATCGCCCCCCTTTAGGAAATTCGCCCCCCCCCCATATAAATTTTGAATTTTTGATCTAAAAAAAACGATTGCAAGTTGAAAAAGATTTATTCGGTGATTTATTTATTTTAGCAGTGTTAACAATAGCCGCCACAGTAATCACTTATAAACTATAGGATTAACAAAAAATCTATCGAATGTGCGTGTTGCAAAGCGTATTGTCCATTGAGTCGTCAACTTTCCATGTCAGTGTCAGTGATGTAATCTTGATTCTTGACTTCCGCAAAAAAATTGCATGAGGCTTTATTCAAATAATTTCATGATACTTTGATTTTATTAGTGCCATAAACATTTGAGAATGTAACTCTTCAAAACTAAAAGCTTTTTTGTCTTTTTTGAAACGTATATCATTGGAGTATTGCCTATTGACAAGTTCTACCCTTCTCTTCTGAGATTTACAAACTATATTGAAATAATGCAAGTAAAAAATAGTGACAACTTATAAGCCATACATTTTCCGATAACGACAAAACGTAGATGCAAAACAATTTTAACAATACTTTAATAATCTTTTATATTTATAAATGCATTTTGAAAATATTTAATATATTTAATAATGCTCAATTTATACGACGAAATGTTTCTGGGCCTTGAATGGGTATGACACGTTGTACATACTAAAACCAAGTCTATTTAGTTTATATTTTGAAATATGTATTTCAGTGTTTGCAACATAGCCATAGGAAAATAACGACACGCTGAGGCGAAGGCAACCAAGTTCAAATTTGGCAAATGTGTTACTGACTACTGTTATAATAACAATGAAACTGTTTCTTCTATAAACACGATAGTAAATTTATTGCTTAGCCTAACGTAGCCTTAGGCTGATGTGGTGGTATACTAGTACTAAACACCATAAACACGATCTATATAAGAATTACCTAACCAATTAAATTATTTTCATTCAATATGAATGAATAAAGTTTGTGAACACTGCATCGGTAGAGTCGACAAGTAGATTTTTAGTGATTTTTATAATGAAATTAAACTGTTTGATTATAAAAAACATATACTATATAGCTAGTTTATATTTAACAAATTTAAAACCTTTTTCGTGTTGATATACAGTTATATCAACACGAGTGGAAATTGGGAAAACGAGAAATTGTGTGGAAACACGACGCCCGAAGGGCGGAGTGTTTTCACACAATTTCGAGTTTTCCCAATTTCCACGAGTGTTGATATAACTATATATCAATACGGAAAAAATGTTTTATATTTGTTTTATAATATAGCACAAAGAAATATAAAGAAATAAATTTTCCGACGTTTCCGTGTTGACATTGAGTTATATCAACACGGCTCTTAGCCAATCAGCGTTCAGAATTTACAAATGCTATATTATAAATGCATGTGTCAGTTAAAAAAAAAAGTCATAAGTCCTATTGATCTACTGTAACTGTGTAAGCCCTTTCGATACATGTAATTATAAATTTGTATTCTTACAGGGCTTGAAATAACGTTCCCAAAGTTCCCGATCATGGTGATCGGCAGTCATGACTTTCCCTGCTTTTTTCAGGTTGCAAACCGAAACCCTGCTTTTCCGCCGATCATAAGCAATTTCTTGCCGATCATTGATCGGTGATCGGTTGTTATTTCAAGCTCTGTCTTAACAATTTTGAATTGATACTGATTTCAAATGACTAAACCCATGTAATAATTATTTATCCCACGCAACTGTTAGGAAGGGCAAAATTTTTAATGGAGGACGAATATCCTGAAGGAAAACTGAAGTTTCTAAAGGGGACGAATTTCCTAGGAATTTCGCCCCGGGGGGGGGGAAGCCTCGCAGTGCCTCGGAAGGTCGTCTCCAGTTGGATGGTGGTTTTCTAAAGAACGAAGCAATTAATTGTTGTAAACACAAAAGCAATTGTCAAATCGAGCCAATGAAAATCACTCTTCCGAGCTATTGCGAGGCTACCCCCTGGGGGGGGGGGAATTGTGCGGGGGGCAAATTCCTGGGACACCGGTATTTTGTCAACACCAGTTGCTTTAGAGACTACCAATTCATTAAACTAGTAATTTAAAAACTTTTGAGTGACTAATAGTTTGAAAAGTGAACGAAATCATGTCAACTTTGTTAATGTAATGTTCAAAATCTGACTTACAACCGTCAATCGAACTTGCTATAGTCGGGCCCGCATTTGCGAAATAGTCATTGAAACATTTAGTAATTTTGGTTGGTAATGAGATGGTACTGATCTTGACCTATTTTAATTTCGTTCATTGTCCTATCCTTCCTTCCGCGACCGAGAATATCGTTTACAGTTTTCCAGGCTTGCTTAGGATTATTTTTCTGATTTCCAATCCTATTTCTATAATATTCTATACTGCTCCCAGTCTTCATTTGAGTTAGTTAATATTGCTTGTTTGTTTGTTTTTTACACTTGCTATATCAGATAAAACCTCGCAACATTTTGCTTACCTCTGCAGCTCGGTTAATAGGAAATACTTGGTCGAATGCATCCAATCGAACTAAATTGAACTGGATGTTGAATGCAGGTATTCCAAGTAATTCCCGTAGGCGTACGGGCTTAGAAATTTAAGGGGGGCGGATGTCAATCTGCCCGACGAGCGGCGAAGGCCCGACCCTCTAAAATGCCATTTGCCGAAGACCCTCTAAAATGCCATTTCCTGCGTTTTGGGGTGAAATTTTGTGCCTGGAGCGGGCGAGAAACGAAGGGAAAATTAATGAAACAAGACCATGCATGTCTGATGACTATTTTAATATCATAAATGTAACTTTTACCGAAAACCTAACCTAATCTCCCCTACAAGTTTATCCCGTGTATTATATTATGTATACTGTCAAAAGAAATGTAAGGCACGGTGACTTTGTTGGCCAAAAACATCAATGATTCTGTCCATATCATTCTCGAGACGTGTTCTATTAGTGTATGCTCGTTCCATACATAGAAGAGAAATTCTTGACCCATTGTGGAACAAAGGTACGTCCTCACCCTTCGTTACCCACTAAAAGATCTCTCTGCAGAACATCAATGACGTAGTTGGAATCGTTGCCAAGATGGAATTTGCTTTATAGAAGACTGGAGTCCATCCATTGAAATGCCAGTGTATGAGTACCGTACATCTGGCGTACTTCTAGCGTATTCAGCGTGTGCCTAGAGCAAGCTTATCGTATAAACAATACGTCCGAATACGCCCAAAATTTTTAAGTATGCAATCGAACTAAAGAGTTAAAATATTTTTTCTATCTCGCCCACCCTCGCCGTATGCCAGCGTATACCATCGTATGCGACCGTGCTTGAAACGTATGTCAGCGTATACCAGCGTATGAGTGACATTTTTCATACGCTGACATACGCTAGCAGTCTTTCATAACTGCATGGTGAACAACGTTACAATTAACAGCTACAATATATGATTTTCTTTAAAATGAAAAACTAACTTCAGGATTCGTTGGGAGTGATGTCTGTTTAGCGCTCCCGCCAATCAGTTACGGTATACATAGCCAGTGGTGCGAATGGAAAAGCATGTTTATTTTAATTATTTTTGTCATCGTTATGCAAGCATATATTCTAGTTTTTAAATATTTCGCATTTTTACTATTAATAACATTTGTTTGTTGGAAAGACCAAATTGATTATTTAGTACACAGGAAGATTGCCCGACTCTTGAGTACAAATTGCCCGACTAATGAATATTTCTAACTAAACTGGGGGGGGGCTGCCGCCCCCCCCCCCGCCTCGTATGCCTATGGTAATTCCTTTCGTATAAATAGTCATTTGTTCACAATAGTTCAAACGTATATTGCTGAAACTAATAGGTTTTCTCATTAATCATTGCAAAATTGTGTTCCTCTTTATGTATGTTCACGCCTGTGTGTGTGTTTAGTCCTAACTT